GGGGGGGGGTGGCCTGCCATTAATTAATTAATTACAAAACTGCATCTAACCAATACCAGTCAGATTACTCGCCTCATTACCCTGCATGTAAAAAAAATGCAGCAAGCAGATATGGGACATTGACGTTGCTCACGAGACGCAGACGCCTCACTGTGCTACTGTACAGAGTACACAACGGCCGATCCACTAGGTTACCGGGTATTCGTCAGATCTCGGAGATATTTTCCCTGGATTTGAGAGGATAGTCACTGAGTGTACCTGTGTAACTGGGTATTCCGTATCCTGCATGTTTGAAACGGTGTGCTGTGTAACTACTAACTTGCAGGACTTGCGTACTCCGTACATAGTGTCAAAAATAGCTAATTAGCTTGTCCGGGAAAGTAAGGTAAGTTACCTATCCTTCACTGATGGCAGGGGCTGGTTTATATTTGCCCATGGTCATAATTATTGTGAAGGCACTCGAATCAAATATGTACCCTCATGAGGTGCAGGTGCAAGATCTAATGAAGAATTGTTCGATACGGCAAAACTCAAGACAGCACTCGCAGACAGCAATTAATTAAACAATAATATTCGCTGCTCGTGCCATGGTGACTGGCACGTCGTTGTCGTATAGGGCATGGGCATGGGCATGGTGCCATAAATTACACTATGTACACGAAAGAAACAATCCCAACAAGTCAACAAGTCTATGCCGTTTCTTCTTCTTTATCTTCTTTTCCAGGAGACAGGATGAGAAATATGCAATTGCAATTCAGGAAAGGCAAAAAAAAAAACGAAACAGAAAAAGAAAGACCTTTCAAGGCAAGAATCTTCATTCATGATGGGACAGCTTCTACGCCATTGGGAAGAGACGCAGGCGCAGATGACTTCCCGGAAGCGGAATCCTCTGGCTGCGGTTCCGCATGCTTTTTCTCAGCAGAGCCATTCAGGTCGTTGGTGGTGGTGTTTTCGACAGCCTTGGCAATGTCTTTGGCCTGGTCAAGCACAGCGGACACCTGCGGACTGACGGTCGTTCCAAAGTCAACCCCGCTGACGAACAGCTCGCTCACGAATTCAAGACCAGCAACGAGGATACACAACGAGCTGGCGATGAAGAAATGGCTGATCGTCGTCCCGATCTCCAGCCACGATCCTTCGTCCCGCACCATGTAGAAGAAGTTCAGCGTCATGACGTCCGAAATCGTCATCACCACCATGAACAGCGCGCTGGGCGCCATCTCCAGCCGGCGGTTCAGGATCCCCAGATTCGCGCTGATGACGGCGAATGGGATGAGAATCTTGAGTATCAACAGGGCACCCTGGCTAAATGGGTTGAAGATCGGAATCAAGCGGTAGACGCTGTCCAGCGAGAAGGATGAGACTGAGGCAATATTTCCCGTGCTGAAAAAGGCCGACTGGAGCAGATAGAAGAAGAACAGCGCCACGCGGGCGTCGGAAATGGTGAGAGCACGATACGCATAAGTCTCACCGCCAACAGTCGTCTTCGCAGGAGGACCCGACGGGGCCTCGGGCCGGTTGTCGTCTGCTTGCTTCTGCTCTGGAGTAGCAGGCGTTGTCGATGCTGGGGGCTTGTTATAGACGTAGGTAGCGTGCTCCAACCGAACCCAGGTGACCAGGGTCATACAGAACGCAAAGTAAAAGAGACCCTCGTAGGAAATGGTGAGAATCACAAAGGTCGGCGAGAACGTGAGGAAGACCATCACCAGACGGTGCAAATAGTAGCTATTCGGATACAGACGGTGGGCGAATGGAAGTAACAGCGAAGACACTACAAAGAAGCTTGGTAAGCCCGATTCTGCAGAATTGGAGAGACTTCAGCTCGAACTTACCCAGAACAAACCAGCCCACCACTTGGTTGCCTAGGGGAAGGCCTTGTTTGGCTTGCAGAGATGCCGCACTGGACCTCGTAACAATCACCGCCAAAAGGATCATACCGACCTATCTCAACGACTCAGTAACCGCCGTTTTGCGTGTAAGATAATGTCTGTTTCGTTCATACCTGCGTCCCCATAATTACCCGAGATCCACGGTCACTGACAGTGTGTCCAGTATGGCGCACAATGGTCTCCTCAAAGATAAGGTACAGAAGGCCAGTCACAAACATCAGCATGCCTCCCAGAGTGCTACAATATCGGTCAGCAAAGCAGGAAACACTGTCTGTGGAAGAATACTAGTCTTACATCATGCCAATGTTCTCAACTTTCACCACGGGCAACAGAGTAAAAATACTCATCAACCCACAGCCGACCGCCCAGGTGGCAGACAGCAGACGATTTTGGGACACAAACCCTTTGCCATAAAACAAAGGCCAAAAAGCCGCGATGATGAAACAAATAGTGAAGATTTCGCGGTAGAAGTACGATTGGACCTTGGAAACAAGTCAGAGAGACTCGACACGCCGGGGATTCACTGATTACTGCACGGATTTCTGGAAAGATAACGACTGAGTTGACTTACTAGTGCTTCCAACACCCCGAGGAACGCTGCTGTCTCCAGAGCGAAAGACAGGTAACCTCTGAATGATCGCACATGTCCCAGCAAAATCTCCCGGCCTGCCACTAGGGCCTTTCGACGAGCAAAAACCTCTTCCCAGAAGAAAACGGGGAATACTGCGTAGACGTAGTACCTCCAAGATGAGCGCTGGTACATGAAGGTCGAGAACAGCGCGACCAGAATGGAAGAGAACACCGTGGTGCTGAACAACGTCCGCTTCGGCTCTTCTGAGCCGTGCAGGACATGAAGATCAATGACCGTGGTCAGCGCATAGGCGATCCAGCCCAAATATCCTGCCGTGACAATCGTTCTCAGGAACAGCCAGTCGTACGTCTGCAGATAGCGTAGACCCTCCAGAGCAGTAGAGAAGAGCTCCGAAGACGCGCGAATCGATTGTTCAAATTCGCCCCTTGAGATAAGCGCTTCGATCTCGGAAAACCTATCCTCAATATAGTTGTCTGTCTGACTCAATGGCGGATAGGGCTTGAATCGGAGTTGGTTTTCGCGCTTCCGGGCTTCCTTCACGCGGTACATCTCCAATACTTCGCGCGTATTCGCCAGAGCTGCTATCGCCTTCTCCCGCGGGCTTGCGTCGATATACTCCAGGGGCAGCTGACCAACTGAGTTGACAGGAAAATCGAGGCCAACCAGGTACGCCATAAGGGCAGCCACGTCGGCCTGCGCAACGTCGTGTCTCCGGATATGGTCGAGGCCCCAGTCGGAAGAAAACCCATCCTCATGGCCAGACGGTTCACCATCCACCACAGGTTTCGGTGGTGCAACGCCAGCGCCCCAGACAACAAGAGGGGTGCGCGTGTTGTCCGGATGACCATCGCCATGGCTACCCCAATCGCTCATGCCATGGTCTGCCGTGAAGATATAGGCGGTCTTGCCGTCGTTGTAGAAGTCTTCAATGAGTTCAGTTATCTCCTGGACCCCGCGATCGACGACCTTGATATTGTGCAGGTATTCCTTGGAGTACGGGCGGTAGGCATGGCCGGTTGTATCAAGACCCAGCAGATGGAGGAAGAACACGACCTTGTCCTCCCTCAGCTTCGCATTCAGCTCCGGGTCCTTCTTCGCATGCGCGAACAGCTCCTTGACCCTGTCAAACACCCACGTGTCCAGAAACGTAGCATCCGACGTAAAATCCTCTGCCTCTTCACTGTAGGTATCAGCGTCGATGCGGCCGGGAACCGCCCCTTCTTTGAACATTGGCAGGATATCCGGACTGCCCCAGCTCCACGTATGCCGGCTGCGATTGAAGACGCTGTCGAAATTGACCGGGTTCAATTTCCACCCCGTCATCACCGCCGACACATCCTCGTACAATCCCGCGATCAGCGCGACATGGCCGGGTCGGGACTCGGTGGGAACTCGGGTATGGGAGACACCAAACGTGCCGTGTTCGAGGGCGCGCGAGCGCACAAAGGGAGCAAGGTAAACCGGTCCGTTATTATCATCAGGGTCTGCATCTTCTGGCGGCGATGGATCGGGGAAGGCCTGGAAGGCTTTGTCCGCACGCAGGCCGTCACCGACGAAGAGGACGAGACGTTTGGCAGGCGCTTCCACTCCGGGCTCCCGCTCGACGCCGAACGATCGCATACCACTGACAATCGGGCTGACGAAGTATATATCGAAAATCGAATACACGTACATCAGGTGGAAGACCAGCGCCAGGGTCAGAAACCTGACGCGGCTAAGACGCGCCATGGCTTCTTTTCTGTCGCGGAGAAGCAATTCTCACTCTGGTCTAAGGAATGGAATGGTAATAGTCCCGAAAAAGGGACTTTCAGGTAAAACAAAAGAGATCTCCGTAGAGAAAGAGGCTAAAAGAAGGAAAGGGAAAGGGAAAGAGCTCGAGAACTGCTATCCAAGAGGTCTTCCATTGCTTCAGATGCCGTGTCGGAGATGACAGCGGCGTGCTCGTGTTGGCAGCCAATGACGTGGGCCAATTTGCCCAGATGGACTTTTTACGGCGGCCCGCACAGCCCTCAGATGCAATACCCCTGAAATACACGAAATACACAGATAAAGTGTCATCCTGCCCACTGAATAAGAGAAGCCTGGTTATATATATAGTCTTGGGAATTATGGACATCCATCCTGCCCGTTATACTCCGTTCGTCCCAGAGTACGCCTGTATAAAAAAAGACACCGCCTAGCAAAACCCAAAAGACGATATGCAAAGACCAGAAGTGTCCTTCAGACATCATCCCGACGACAAATGCTCCAGAAACCAAGAGGGAACATAACCAAAACAATCCAAATTTCATATAAACATCAATCAACAGACTCGACTCGCTTTTTTGTGAGCGTGTCCATAACCCTCGTGTAAAACTTCGATGCATGCTGCCGCGAGAATGTAATGTCGACAGTAAGATATTCGGGCAAAAGATCGACCAGATCGCGGTCGCGATTGGCGTCGAGAAGTGGCATGTAGTGGAATTCGGCGCTATCAAAATTGGAAGTCTTGCCGTCCCCATCGTGGGACACTGCAAGCTTGAAATGAAGAGCTGCAGAAATGCCATCAGTAAAAAATGACACGGAACCAGCCAGATAATGGCGCAGGTTGACTCACTTCCGTTAGTGCCAGTCTGAATGCAGTCGTACAGATTATCCGACTCCCGTTTCTTGACGCTTCGAATGATCAGACCGGTCAGGTCACTGTAGAGATCTTCTTTCAACTGCGCAAGCTGGGCCGCCTGCGCCGCTTCAGCGCTAGCGTTCCGGTTGGCACTGCTGTTCTTGACTGCACTGCCAGGACCTTTGGAACTGGCGCTCTCGACGCTTGCTGCTGCGTTTCGCGCAGCGGCCAACTTGGTCTGTAGTGCCTTTATTTCTGTCTGAGCCGTCGAGAGCTGCGACGACAGGTCATCCACTTGGGACTGCAGATCAGCGACTTGTGTCTCGCGTTCTTTCAGCTTCTTCTGTAGGCTTCGAGCTTGCTGCCCTAGTGCGGTGTGGTGCGCCAATTCCTTCTTCAAAGATGCGATGAGCTCCGTAGAGGCTGAATGTCATTAGCCAAAGTCAAGGGCGTAGGAAAACACGGGGAAGAGCATACCGGCTGTGGCGGCTTCGCATTGCTTCTTCAGCTTCTCAAAATTGGCATTGGCTTCTACAATTCCAATCTCCCGCAAATTGCGATATTTTGTCTCTAAACTTTCATATTTCTTGTTCATCTCGCCAAGTTTGCGCCTCAGCTCCGGCTCTGACGTCTTCTCATTATCTGAGAGACCGCCAGGTCCTCGTTTGCGGGTCGTCTGCCCGTTCACTCGAGGTTTGAGCGGTGATACCGACTTTTCCCTTGAATTTACCGGCTCTTCCTCTGACAGAATTGTCTCATTGACTTCTGGTACTGGTTTCTGGCTGTCTGGCACGACGGCGTCCTCCTCGGCTGGTTTCCGTTGTCTGCCTGGCCGTCTCTTCGGAAGATCTTCTGGTTCATCTGGAGGCCTCGAGTGCCGCGAGCTTGTGGGAGTGTACTCGAATTCACCATCTGTAGTGACTTGCTTGGAACTGGTTGACGCCTTTCGCCCTCGACCCCGCCTCTTTGGCATCGTAGTATCCTTGGATGAGCCTAACTCGTCATTGGAAACATCAGGCTGCGCATTTTCTGCATCAGCAGCATCATGCGCATCTTTGTCCTCCTCCTTGCCCTCTTCCTTGTCTTCCTCCTTGTCTTCTTCCTTGCCAGCGTTCTGCGCCTGCGGTTCAGGCTCGGCGGTGGCCGTTCGCGGTCTGCCTCGTCCCGAGTGCCTTTTGGGCAGCATCTCCTGCTTGGCAGGAGCAGTCGCGGACAGGCGCGCGGGCTCGGAGGCAGTCTTGGTTATCTCGACCTTTGGCTGGGCTGCTTTCGGCCTCCCTCTGGGTTTCTTCGCGGGGCGCTCGTCGAGGGGCTCCTCTTTGGCGGACGCGTCTCCATTCGCGCCCGTCTGCATTACATCTTCGCCGTCGGACTCGACCAGACCGGAGATCTTGGACGCTGCTTTGCGCTTGGGCATCTTGCCTGGCGGACGAGTGCAATTGAGTGCTGGCTGCGATCAGGATGGCCGCGTTATCTTTGCACGCAACGCTGTAATTATTGTAATTACCCTGCCCAGGGGCCTCTGCAAGCTTGGCGCGGAGACCCAAACAAAGCCAGACATGTGATCTGCTCCGCTGGCCTTCCGACGGTCCGACTCCCGCTTGACGGACAAACCGCAGCAAGCCACATCAACAGACCACCGCCACAGCCATTCTGCGCGGCATCGCTGGCCTCCCCCGTCACTACTTCGCCTGCCAAATCTCACTCTCATCCGGTCTCCCTTCGCTGACAGAGAGACTGTTACGGTTTGATCTTGCCACAGCTGCCGGTTCTGTCATCATGGCTTCAGGCGGCGTTCGTCGATGGCAGCAGTTCGTGCAGGAGCTGGTCATGATTGCCGGCACGGTAAGTCGATGCTGAGCAGCCATGTGGAGGACGGTGAACTGACTGACGGACACAGTCCGCCTCTGCGTATTTCCTGATTCGTTATCTACTGTCGCGGATTGACCTCGACCCTGACAGCCAGAAGAAGGAGGAGCAACGACGGAAGTCCGCAGCCATTCTCCGAAGACTAGATGGTCCGGACTCGGACGACGAGTCGCCGGGGAGGAGCGGGGGACGGCGTCGACGGAAGCAGAGAAAGGAGGATCTCGTGCTGAATCAGTATGAACAAGCGATCGCTATGGACGTGGTCGCCCCAGATGATATCCCCGTGTCGTTTGAGGACATCGGAGGTCTGGACGACATCATCGAGGAGCTGAAGGAGTCGGTGATATACCCTCTGACAATGCCACATCTCTACTCTTCTACGTCTTCGCTACTGTCTGCGCCTTCCGGGGTTCTCCTCTACGGTCCACCGGGATGCGGCAAGACGATGCTCGCCAAAGCTCTGGCGCACGAGAGCGGGGCATGCTTTATCAACCTGCATATCTCCACCCTGACGGAGAAGTGGTATGGCGATTCCAACAAGCTGGTCAATGCTGTGTTCACCCTCGCGAGGAAGCTACAACCCTCCATTGTCTTCATTGATGAGATTGATGCTGTTCTGGGCACCCGGAGAAGCGGTGAACACGAAGCCAGTGGGATGGTCAAGGCCGAGTTCATGACGCATTGGGATGGTCTGACGTCGGCCAACTCCTTGGGTGAGCCCCAGCGAGTCGTGGTGCTGGGAGCCACGAATCGCATCCAGGACATTGACGAAGCCATTCTGAGACGGATGCCCAAGAAGTTTCCGGTCGGGTTGCCGCCCGCGCCCCAGCGGCTGCGCATCCTGTCTCTCATTCTCAAGGACACCAAAATCGATCGCGAGAACTTTGACGTTGACTATCTCGTAAATGCCATGGCTGGCATGTCCGGCAGTGACATCAAAGAGGCCTGTCGGGATGCGGCGATGGTCCCTGTCCGGGAATTAATCCGACAGAAGAGGGAGGCGGGGCAGCATATCACGTCAGTCGATCCTCGAGAGGTGCGAGGACTTCGTACGGAGGATTTCTTCAACCGTAAGGGGGGTGTGAAGATCATACCCAAACCCACGCCGTCCCAGGAGGCTAGTAAGACGGCGTCGGAGAAGGATTGGAGCACCGACGAGGACGAGAGCCGTGATGCGGGTGCGAGTGCCATCTCCGAACCGCCGGAGTAAATGTACAGTATGTCTGCCAGTCTTCGATTATCTGATGGTTGGGACACGATACAATGCGCACGGGTAGGCGTTCTGGATATATTCGCCACGTATGGGTATATATGTTTTATGACTCTGATGTTTGCAACAGCCTGCAGTGTTGTCCGCTCATGAATTGCTGCCAGACATCTCTTATGCTTCTTAATAGCCTTAATGCAATTTCTCGACGTAGATAGGCCCGACCAGGAGTACGTGGGCAGTTGTAGGCTCTCCACCAGTTCCTTCTATTGATAGCAGATATCGCAACCAGCTGCCCACAGGTCAGCGATAGGCCATGGATACAAGAATTCCACCTTTAATCCTCCTACTCTCGGTAGATAGATATTCCAGCATACTCCGCACGATGCACTGCTTGCACGCGCATTCCATTGTTTGCTGCTGGAGTGGCGTCGATCAGGCTTGGCGCCGCGTGTGCTCCGGAGCCCGAGGACGCTGCGATGTACCCGGTACCTGCGAGCGCTGCGGGCTGCCCGCTGTAGGCCAAGTACCCGGTACTTCTGCCGCCGAACCGCCAGCCCGGTGGGCCAATCGACTCGGGGCGCAAGAAGGCAGTTCCTTTCAACAAACCACCTAAGCTGTTTCGCGATACCTGGCCAGCCTCGCTGATACGCCTCTCGTCGACGGACCAGCCTGAGACTCCCCCGCGAACACTGCGTCTCTTCTCCCTGAACCTCTCAGCCTCCTGAATCGGCGTCTCGGTGTCCGCCAGATATCGCTCTCCTTATCCTTTGCACCGTCTCCCCCGATCGCGTCATCGTCGGCCGACCTGAGATCCCCGACCACGGCTTCAATTCGAGTGCGGGAAGTTCCAAGCGCGCCTGCTGACAGGAATGCATCTGGCTGTCAGCTCCTGAGCAACTCTGGCCGGCGCTCTTTGCGGAAAACGGATGTGGTCTCGGGGGCTGGATGTCGAATGATCTCGAGGTAACTCCGTTCAGGGCGATTAGCCTTTTCGTGACGGCCCTGAACTCTGTCATCTCGACCGGCTTGCCCGGAGCTGACGGTGGTCTCTCTCCGTGCAGGATTCATTCAGCGCTGTCCGATAGGAATGAACTCCAATAGCGACCTCCTCGACGCTTCCGACCCGGCCACTTCCAGCACCAGCACGAGCAGGAGGAGGTCGACGAGCACGGTCCGGCCTCGCAACCGACGGCTGGTATCCTTCAATGAGGAGAGGGAGGACGATGGAGCGCAGTCGTTGACCTCGCGCCTGTCTGCGGCCTTCGCCGGGCTGACGCCGCCGCAGTCTCGTGGCACGACACCATCTCCGTTCGCATCGCGGAGGAGTTCGCCTTTGCCGGCGAAGCATCCCTCTCGCGCTACTGATGCCAGGCAAAGAAGCGATGGTGACGAATTTGCACGAGGAAATGGGCTCAAAAGCAGCAACACGTCGCAAGGCGCAGGGTCGAATCTCGCCGCTGAGCTCCTGGAATCGTCGTGGTCGTCTTTACAGAGTCTAGCATCTTCATTTCTCGGGAGTGATCCTACAAGGTCGAAGTCAGGCTCCGAGTCGGTAACATCGCACAAGCGACGGAAGCCGTCGCGCTCGAATTTCTACATCAGCAGCGCGCCGAAGCAGACGCAACCGTCATCATGGGGACCCGCAGCGCCGGCCGCAACGCAGATCGGCGCAGGGACCAAAGAGGAAAGACAAGCCTTAGTGCAGGCGAAGAAGAGGGAAGTTCTGTTACTTGCGAATGGCGACTCGGTGTCGGATCTCAAGGGTCGATACAAACGGCGAGACTCGGCAGGAAGCCCGACGGCTGTTGATCCGGAGCAAGACGAGGAGGCTTTGGTCTACATTCACCATGTACAACCCACCGACAGTATGACGGGAGTTACGATCAAATACGGCTGTCAGCTTGCCGTCTTGAGGAAGGCCAATGGGTTTTGGCCGAGCGATAGTATCCAGAGTAGAAAGGTCGTGTTACTGCCAGTCGAAGCATGCTCGGTCAAGGGACGACGGGTGCGTCCGACAGAGGACCAGGATCTTCTGGGTGATGGGCCCTCCAAAGGGGAGTCTCTAGAAGAGGGGAATACAAGTTCTATAGCTCCGTCTGGCGAGACGGCAGCCGAGAGCAAGTCGCATGGCACGAAGAACGAAAACGACCGGACATGGAAACACGAAGCATGGGTGCAGATTGAAGGATTCCCGGCGGCGGTGGAAATTGGCCGCGTGCCTCGCCGGACATTGGGGTTCTTTCCGCGCACGCGCCGAAAATCGCAGTCCCGGCCGTATACCGATGCCGAAACGCCATCGCCGTCTTTCGATACATCACGACCAAAGCGATCAGACTCGTCAGCCCAACCTCCGACGTCTTCTGATCCATCTCTTCCAACGCCGCCGGACACGGGGCCTGGGAATGCTGGCTCGCGTCGAGGCCATCGACGGAACCGCAGCAGTATCTGTCTGGTCGGGCCCGGGGGCGTAGGGACTCTTGATCGGGACGTGACCGCGCCTGGACCTGCACCTGACGGGTTGAACAAGTTCGTCAGTCAGCATCTGCCCCATCTGACCGTCCCACCGCCGCCTGGCACTCCGGGCGAGACGTCAGTCGAGTCTACGGCCTCGACAACGACGTCGTCGACGACGGGGCTGGAGAACGTCGGCGGGGCGATTGAGGGCTGGATGCGGAAGATGGCAAGTCGGGCGAAGGCGGGCCTGGCCGAGTTGCAGCAGAGCACGCAGCCCCAGCCGGGACAGGCGGTTGGAATAGGCGGACTGGGCGATCTGATCGAGTTGGATGACGGGCTTGAGGGGACGGCATCAGTCGGCAGTGCCGGTGCAAGCGCAAGCGCAGGGCCGAGGAGGTCGCGGCATGCAGGCGCAGGCACCGGCACGTCACACTCACACTCACATTTCCGCGAACGATATCCCAGCCCATCGGTGTCAGCGACGAGCAGGGCTCGCGCCACCGGGGCAGAATCGGGGATGGACGAGAGACTGAAGGGGGATTAACCGGATTAATTCGAGAAGAAAAGATCAGATAAGAATAAGATCAGATAAGATTATCTTAAGACTAATGTGCCATAGACGTGTTTTTGTTTTTCGTTTCTTCTTCTGGCCATGACAATATATTATACTATTGCTCTTTTTTTTTTCTGTTGTTGTGACTGACTGATTGATTGACTGATTGCTTGGATTGAAGTACAGTACAGTACAATACATAGCATGGCATGGCATGCATGCATGGACTTTGATTGATTTGATTATTTTTCTTTTTGTGATGCACCATGCACCTCTGTCTGTGAGGTCCTTTTTTTTACCGATTTGCTTTCTCGCTTGCTACTAGATACCAGGAAGTTTTTTTATATCATCATCGATGTTGTTATTGTAGGATATTCAAGGTATTATTCAGCTGTTCTTTTCTTTTCTTCTCTTTTCTTTTCTTTCATTTTTTTTTTAGCAGCAGTAGCGGCGGCCTTATTTTAGTGGTATGTTTATTTATTAGCAATATTAGCAAATCAAATGAAATCGACATGAGGCAAAAGTGCCTATGCCTAGGGTCTTTCTACTATTAGAAAAGAAAAATAAAACATTATAGTATAACAGCTGGAGATGTTATTAAGGAGATGATATCTCATACATAGATCTTCTGATCTAATATATACTCCTGTTGTCTTCTTAATATTAGGGCTGACCTATATTTCAAACCTTCCCTTTTTTTTTAATTAACGCGCGCTCCGCAGCAGATCTACTACCTTACATGTAAACTATGGTTTGATGAGAGTGACTCTGTGTACGAGAGTCTACTTATTTATTAGCTCGACTAAAAAGTAAAGTCTGTGTGTGGTGCGCTTGGAATTCGTTAGTTAGGCTGTTTATTTAGAATGCAAATAAATGAGTTTAAATGATTGCACTGATTTATATTTTATTTCATACTAGGTAAATATCTAAATAAGGACACGGACACGGAAAATAATTTCCTCGTCTTGTCAGTTGCAATTTGCATGCCCAGCATTCGTTCTATTCTATTATGACCACTGACAGATGGGCAATATGTACACAAATTCGGTGTAAACGTCGCATTCGAGACCATGCGCAATTAACCCCTATTTATCCCTCTGGCTAGCAAGGAGGAAGACTCTCTGCAGTGATTATTGGGTAAGTCATGCATCCTAACTATATAACTATATCACAGGATAAATGCTTACTTACCTGCACAGCTACTATCCACATAGTATTCAGACACATATTCTCCCTTGGTGTTCTTGTCCCAGTAGCTGCAAACGAACACGTACCATTAGCAAAAAATATCCACGTTAGCAATAAAGGCAAGTCCATACCTGTTTCCATTGATTTCTTCACCAGTCGTCCGGCATACAAAGCTCACTATCGTTCCTGCTGGATACTCGCCCATAGACGTACAGCTTGTGCTGGGACAGAGTCTGTGGTTGAGGAGATTGCCAATGATCTTGCAGTCTTTAGGTCCGGATCCAGAAGGAATGGCGGTTGGTTTTGCTGGATCTGTTGGAGTAGTAGGAGGAGGAGTAGATGAATGTTCTGGCGGTGCCTTTGTGCTTGTGCTAGGTTTTTCTGGCTTTGTTGTATTAGGAAAAGGAGGAGTAGGAGTAGAAGGAGGAGTAGTTGAATCTTCCGGCGGTGCCTTCGTGGTTGTGGTAGGTTTTTCTGGCTCTGCAGTAGTAGCAGTTGAATGCTCCGGCGGTTCCTTTGCAGTTGTGCTAGGTTTTGTTGGCTCTGTCGTAGTTGAATGTTCTGGTTCCTTCGTGCTTGTGGTATGTTCTGATGAAGACGCCTTGGTCGAGGATGATCCTTTCGGTTCGGCAAACAGGCATGATTTCCACAAATCCCACAATGTAGGAGCCTGTAATAGGATTTTAGCACAAGAGTTCTTGCTTAAACGACAGTTTCTTTTTTTTTGTTGTTGTTAGAAAAAATTTACTCACCCACAAGGTCAGCTGAATCCGTGTACCGATGTCGAATCTCTTGTCCAGGTCTCCCGCCGTGCGTATCGCGACGTCCGTCTTTCGCTCGACCTCGTTCGCAAACGTGTCAACCTGTTCTGAGCCTTCGATTTCGAACCCTCTCTTGAAAAGAGGCGCGCTGCCTCCAAAGACGGGTTGATCTGTAATGTCGGCCGTAATGGCGAGGTCACCCCTCTTCCCAGCCCGGAGAGCAAGAGCAGCACCAACCGAGAGGTCAACGCTTGTACCGTCCTCGTTCTTCTGCGCGCACACCGACTCCTTCGAGTCAAACCCATCGATGGCGGCTTTGAAGTCGGGTAACTTGAGGACCAAAGCCGCTTCCAGCCCCTGATTGAAGAGCGTAAACTGCGGACCAAGCGTCCACTGCAGGTAGACGCTGACATCGGCAGAGATGTTGTTGCTGAGGTGGAAAGGCTTCGCCTGGAAGGTGGGCAACCAACCGTGGAACTGCTCATCGTCCGGGTTTACCAGGTCGAGTTTGGCCACCGCCGAGTCTTGCAGCTTTGCAACGGCGCCAAAGTCGATGGTCACGGCATCCTGCGTTTTGGAGAGCGAGATGCCAATCTTGCCCTTGAAATGAGTCGCAAATCCGCCGATGTCCGGTATCTCAAAGTCCCAGGCGGGGATGGGAATGTCCAGGAACCCCTTGGAATAGCTGACGGAGATCTGGTCGGGCAGTTTTGGGCGTTTCGAGACCGAGGCGCAGGCCGAGATCTGCCTGCACGCTCCGTGGAGATATGGTCATGGATATCTCGACGGGGACGAGGATCTCCACCCTCACTTTAAACGTGACGTCGAGACTGCCGGAAATCCCACAGTCGGTGCAATCCAGCCTGAATGTGCCGCCGGACGGGATGTGTTCATAGAAGATGTTTCCATCCAAATTGTTGCTCAGGGGAACGGAAAACCCTTTCGTAGTCCCCCATTCGCCGAACCGTTTGCTCAGATTGCTTTGAGGAGGAGGCGACACGGTACCATATTCAAGGTCGAATGTCTGTGCGACTTCTTGCCAGGCTTTTTCGGAGCCATGGAGGTGGACGGTGGAGTGCTGCTCGTCGTACTCGACGCTGTTGATATAGAAGGGCACTCGCTGGTCGTCTGGCCCGCAACCAGGGTCGTCGGCAATCAGGATGAAATGGTGATTTTCGTGTTCATTCACCCAGTTCCAAGCCTGGATGGCGTATTGGAAGGCGTCATGGTCCACGAACTCCAGCACGGTCGTGTTACCGCACTGGACGGATTTCAGCATGGAATGGAAGCGTTCCAGCGAGATGATCAACTGGTCTCCTGAGGAGGCGGTATACAATGTCATATTGGCAAGCATATAGTCGGAGGTTCCTAAGTCTATCAGCATTATCGCTTATGATAATATTTTGTTGGCTTACCATTTATAAGATTCCCCCATAGGAGCGTCTCGGACTCTCTAGGGTCCAACACCGTGAAGCCCTGAGCCCGCGCGGATAATGATGCTCCATCGAGGTTCGGCAGATAGAGAGGTTTGAGGATGTTGCGGCCAGCATTGTCGTCTCCCTGAACCAGCCGCAGGAAGCTGAAGAATAAGCAGCTGGCTGTTAAAAGGATGGAAGAAAGGTGCATTGTTGCTGGGCACGAACAACCAAGCAAATTATCAGTTTGACGGACGATGTATCAGATATCACTCTGCGGGAGACATTTATTCTTATTTATAGACGAGTGCTGGTCCTGTGGATTTCATGTATCGTTTACGCCAGATCTTGGCTTGTCCACTCGATACGAAGAAGTACGATTGCAATCACCCTGGTTTAATCAATTATAGTTCATACAGATCGCCAACGACATGAGGCAGTGATAAGCTAAGAAAATGCATGCCTGCAAAGGCATAAACACGAGCCGTTAAGCTCTCCGTCTCGATCGGGAAATAAATCAAACAATGTGCGTTGGATCCGTTGATCGATTCACGTTCCGCAATTCTGAAATGTGATTGATGTTCCTGAATCGCCTTGGCAGGGCCCATGTTGCCTCGTATTCATATGACGTGAGTTTAGTATTTTCGGGAGTGGATAAGAAATACGAGCTGTGCTGAACGTTTATAGAGTCGCCAAGAGCTGGCTAGTATAGTACCATCGGGTCAGAACGAAATCTTCCCAGGAACAAACTTATTTTAGTTCCTATTCCTATATTAGGGGTAAATATAGGCACTTTCATTTTTACTTCTGTATTAACTACAGAGTAGATAACTATTCAGGTAAATTTTACCTAAAAAACATGTTAAAATTAATGATTAGGCCTCATAGGCATAAATAATTAATCTACGAGGGCTATTAACTACTAGGCCATTTCTACACTGCTACATACAAACTTTGAAGTAACTTGGCGCGGGGGCCGTTTTGAGTGGCTGTGACTGCAATTCCGAGCCTTGTCACCTTGTCATTAAGGCTCATTCACACACGACTTCGTATAATTGGTACAAACGATTTCTATAATTGTCTGGGTTATCGTATCGGGCTTTTTTTTTCTGTTTCCCAACCAGAGTGAGGGGCCAGATAATAAGAGAGTTTTGCAGTAAGAAACAGTATATATATTATGGACGACGATAGCTTGGCATAAATGTCTGAGCCCTACTACTATCACGCTCAGACTGCTGGTAACACTGTCCAAACAAGCATAAATGAAATAAAATGAAGAAAACAAGGAGGAAAAAGAAGATGATAGTAGTAATAGCAAAGAGAGTAACAAGCTTTGATATGTTGAGAACTTGAGTATTCATTTACCTTAGCAGAGACTCCGATAAGAGAGAGGACAAGACTAACATTTTTATGCCCTACAAGAAGACTGGAGAAGGGAACTTGTCATTCGTCTTTCCCTCTGCTTCTCTCTTACATTAGCTATTGCTATTCATATGATATGACTGGGCTAGTAGGAAAAGGCGAGCTGATCAAGCGATGGTAGCACCCGTCCAGAGGCCAGCATGGCTATATATATCGGTCTTCAGGAATATGACATTCTGGGACTTCCGTCCACTATTCTGGCCTTTAGAATTCTTTTTCCTCAGGCAAACCGGCTATGGACTGACTCTATTGAACCCTATGTCATCTACCATAGGATCCTAACTTGGGCTTTCGACCTGACCACTCACTCATGTCCGGATCAGTCAGGCTTTAAGCTAAGTTAATATCGACCATTCTCCTCTCTAGATATGAGACCGCGGAGATATCTAATGGGTGCAGGCCAGGCCTGCGATGATAGCGTTTAGTATCTGTCAAACAGACTGGGGCACAAAAGAAAAGCCTAGGTTATCTAGTGAACCCCTAATCTGACTGATATCTGCCGGTTGACGGTATCATTGTTGTCCTTTTGCAAAAGTACAGCAGTTAATACTGACCCCTAACATGCTAGTAGACACACTTATTGATTGATAGGCTACTATATAAGTCATAAATATTAGTACCAGGTGAGTTATTTCGAGTACTTGATTCAACAATTAATGTGATGACCTTATTTTTTTTTGCCGTCGGTCTTGCATTCTATACAATATTGTCCACGGCGTCAAACAAAATATTATATTGATTATCTTTGAATCATGGCCTAGAATAAATAGTCCTATGACTCTTATCATCATAGCGTAGGGGGAAAAAAAAGACTAAAAAAATAGCATTTACGGAGTAGGGTGCTATCTGCAGTGACTATTTACATACATAGGAAAGAAATCAAAGGGCATAAATAAGAATAGAAAAATTCATGAGTCTATACGTAAATATTCAGTTCAATCTTTCTTTACACATGCTTACGACATTTCCTTAGCTAACTAAGACGGCGACAGCGTCACAAGCAGTCATTTCATTTTCAGTGTTGATTTCACAGGTATGTATTACTTACTCATATTCTAATGTAAAAGAAGAAGAAAGAAAGAAACATTTCCAGTACGGCTATTGCGATTAAGTTTGAAAAAGAAAAGAAAATTCTTCATCTTCAACTGTTTCCTATCAATCGACTTTCGACTTGACTTACATAGAAAAGAATCAAGCAAGAGTAGTAAAAAATATTAAAGTCTGACCTTCCTTCCTACCTACTTACCTAGGTATGTATGTAATATATAATTATATATTATCTATGTACAGTACAGTACAGCAATGTACTGTACATACCTATCTATGTCCATGCTCTCTCAGGGCACTCACTCACTTTTCTGTAGTTTTAACTGGTTTAACTAGACCTATACCTGTTGCCGAAGATCTGGAACTGCAAATTCTAGCTTGCTTGCTTTGTGTCTATCTATCTGCATAACCTATATCCTATATGTAACTCTCTCTCGCTCTCTCTGATCTGTGCTTATTGGAGGATAAAGATGCTTTACAGAAGTTTAAGTAAGGTTGGAAGTACGCAGCTTTTTTTTCCCCCTATTATCTAGGTACATCTAATAGGTAGTATGATCACAGGTTGTCTTGTGTTATAGTACCGCGATAGAAGCGGTTCCCTCTATGCTTGTGGGTATTGGCAGGCACTGGCGCCATTATAGCATGCCCGACAATCCGTCTCCTGGATCGAGTTAGCAGTGACTAGTAGTCATTCTCGAGTGTCTTACAGAATCCTTAGTATAGTATATACCTTAGTATATCCCGCAATGGCATCATAGGCGGGGTCTTAGCACCGCGGCATCCTCTCCTCCTGCGGGGTAGACTAGACAGGCACAAAGTTAATTAATTAACTCATGCCTAGGGATTTCCCGGTGTGCATCATTGATGGCTGTTCTAGCCGCGGGTCGAGCTTCCTATGACTCTTCGCCAAATGACGTGCGCATGTCGACTTTCCTGTTGAATGAATGCGTTGGCTGCCATAGGTCTAGATTATGTAGATAGATAGGATAGGCTGTTGCCTTTTTTTTTCTCGTCAGACCGGACCAGACGCGACGGGCTGTGAATGAACACAGAGATAAGCCAGCAGTGACTTGTCGCTGGTCCTGTTTCACTTTATTTCTTTTTCTTTTTTTCTTTTTTCTTTTTTTTATATGTTGCTGAACCTGCACGGCATTGACGATGCGGTGACTGCTCCAACTCTCCGCCTGAAGCTTAACTTTCTTTTTTAGTCTTTCGTCCTGCTTACTTACTTACTTACTTACTTACCTCTCCCCACAATCTTCTTCTTTATCTACTTTCTCCTCCTTCTTTCCCTGCAATACTGCTGAGTAATATCTACATACAATTTCTCGCACCCACCATGAGCGTCGAAGAACAGGGCTGGGCCAAAACCACCCTCAAGCCCGGCAACGGCGAGGACTTCCCTCGCGTCGGCGACCAAGTCCGAATTGCCTACACCGGCTGGCTCAGAGACCCATCCAACTCCGCCGACTACGAGAAGGGGAGAGAGTAGGCCACCTCTGACTGATGCATACGACTCTGGGAACTGACGCATGCGCAGGTTCGACTCCTCGCGGAAGCGGGGCCCTCTCCAGACGGAGATCGGGGTGGGTCGGGTCATCAAAGGTCGGTATATTATTCATCATATTCATACTTGTATTAATAACATATTCATATTTGTATTAATGTTAATAACGACACGTGGATCTGCATCGCTTGTGGCTTGCGTGACTGACATTGGCTGGTGCAGGCTGGGATGAAGGCGTGCGCGCGATGAGCCTGGGCGAGAAGAGCATCTTGACCATCAATTCGTGAGTTGACCTGCGGCATTCGAATCCAGACTGGATGGTTGCTAATTAATAACGTACAGGCGATATGCGTATGGCGAGCGGTGCGTGATTAATTTCTTTCCTGCTCTCCGCATTCTTCCGGGGCCCCTCTTTTAGCCATCCCTCTTATCATTGCCAATCGGGAAGCCATCATGTCCTCAGCATTGCTTCTTCAGGCAGCACTGAGAGGCGAACTACATTATGACGAAGAACATGCGACCTGTTGGTTTTCGTACTGACCTGCTCTGTCAACAGTGGCTTCCCAAACGTCATTCCGCCCAACTCCGATCTCGTCTTGTAAGTGCTGCTGCAGCCTACCTGGCCACTTGTCACGGACCGTGTGGCCAGTCTTGCAGTCATTGTCGTACTAATCTAACTAATCATCGCTTTTTTATCCAGTGAGGTCGAGCTGCTGGGCATCAACAACAAGTCCGTCTAGACGATGACAACACCGGCAGGGGTTGGGAGGCTTCAGCCATGATATCTCTAATGTCGACTAGCTAGTTAATAGTTAGTGAACTACTAGAGTCGACTGAAGAATCAATTCTTTCCTTCCTTCCCCTGCAACTTTTTTTTGTTCTGGTGTTTCCGCGGATTCGCAAGCCACATTATTAATTTATTATTCTCCATTTCGATTTTCCCATCAAGCAAGCACGCAAGCAAACAGAAAGCGAGAAAAGAGAGAAGACAGAAAAAAGAAAAAGACAGACGCACACACAGACGAAGCGATCCAAAAAAAAAAGACATTCGATCACTCATTCCACAGGCTGTCCGTATTTCTAATATCTACTAATAATTAATATTGTCAACCTGTCTGTCTATTCGTCCGGATAAATCCGCAAGGCAAGGGTGGAAAAAAATGAATTATTTTATTCCACCTACCAGATAGGTAGGTAGCGAGGATGATTTCTTTTTTATTTTGTCTTGACACAATTAATTAATTAATGTATTAACTAATTTAATTAATTTTAAATGAATTAAATGATTACATATGTAAGAAATTAAATTAGGTATGTATGTACCTGCCTGGCTTCCTGACTGACTGACTGACCAGGGGCCTGTTTGAATGCTATTATTGCCATTGGATTAGTTGATATTATTTATTCTATTCTGTTCTATTCTATTTATTCATTATATGGATAGATAGATAGATAGATATATCTATGCTCTCTGGGTACATGTACATACATATGTACAGTACTTACCGCGCTCAGTATTAGGATTGATATTATATTTGACGGTAGTTAATGAATGAATGAATTAATTAATTAATTGATATCTATGTTTTAGGTATTATCGACATGTCATGTCATGTCCCGCAGAGTATCTAGATGAAAAGAAATTCTCCTGCATTCATTGATATTAATTAAACAGAGTACAGTACATACAATAATAGGGGGTGTACTGTACAGAGTATAGAGTACAGAGGAGGGAAGGTTACCTGTCTGTGACCTGCCCAGGGCATGATATATATATATACAATATCTGTATTTATCTACCATGTATTATTTCATTTAATTAAATACTCAATACTAACCGTCCAATTCCGTGACATGGACTTATTTGATCTGATCTGAGCTGATCTGATCTGATTGATTGAAAGAAGAAAAGAACAGTCCAATAAGACACCCATTGACGGACTGTACAGTACTGTACGACATTTCTATGTTCGTGTCCGTTCCATGTCCACTCTGCTTACTTATTCGAGGCTATGTATGTATGTTGTATGCGATTGGAATGGTATTCAGTTGTATTTTTCCTGCTTTTTTTGTTGCCTTTCCTAACGTACTCAGTATGTATATACATACAAACGCATTCATGCTGTTGATCTATAGGATATCATTTCAATCACACTGCCACAGTAATCATGCGTGAAGGATACTTCAGTTAGGTCAGATCAGGTCAGGCCAGTCAGGTATGTCAGAGCTCAAGTCCATGCATGCATAAGGCATTTCTCATGCAGAAGTATGCTTTTGCAGTATTATGTAGGTTTCCGACGCGGATCTGACTGCCTATCTGACCAATTCAGACCTTATACTAATGAAACATCATTCCTGCGGTAAGACTTGCTTTTTTTTACAACCAGAACGGCAACTTCTTCAGCTCCGCAACAGAAATCGACCGGATCTGGGTGCGAGGGAATCGACTGTCCGTCCCTGTCTCCTCTGCAGTCGACAAGTCGAGATAATGTATCGTCAATATGCCGACCTGGTCGATGAAATCGAGGACCCGGTGGTAATTCAGCCCAACCTGGGGCACGCCGTGGCTGTCGTCGGACAGGCAGAAACGTCCGTTCATGGCTAGGAATTCCTGAAAGAAAAAATGTCAATGCAGCTGCCATGGCGAGCAGTGTATATGATAGATGTAAGATAGGATCTACCTTACAGATCTCGGCCTTCGGATAAGGCTCGCTCATGCCCTTCCGCAGAGCAGCCGAGTTGAGCTCCAGCATCCCCCCGTAGCTGGCCACAAACTCGAGATTCCGGCGGATCTTGGCCCACACGCCGGGCCACCGCGTGAGGCTGCCATTCGGGTCATCGCTCTTCAGCCGGATGAGATCAAAGTGGCCGACCACGAGGGGCTTCAGCTGCTGGAGCATGTCGAGCTGCGCGTCGAAATAGTCCTCGAAGAGCCGCTCGTCCGTTCCACCGGCAACTTCCCGCGCCTGGGCGTACATGGGCCCATCGTAGTCGATCGGGATCGTGTGGACGTGATGCACGGATCCGACGAAGAATTCAAAGGGAAACCGCGACAGGGACTGCTGGATGAGGGTGAACGACGACGGACGGATCCAGTCGATCTCGAATCCGATCAGGATCTTGATCTGCGAGGCGTATTTGTCGCGCAGCCGCGACGCCTCGCGGAAGAATGCGGCTTCGTTTTCGACCAGCCATTGTTCTGTGATGTTTTCTTCATTCTGCAGATAGAAATATGTAAGCTGTTTGTCATATCGTTGATTGATCGATCGATCGTTTATTGCAATGAGGTGAAGACGTGCGTACCTCTTCCGGATAAAAGTCCTCTTTCCCCCGCGGCATGTGCTCCGTCAGACAGAAAACCTGCATCTTCTGCGCGATCGCGGCCTGGATGACCTCCTCGAGGGAGTTCTTCGCGTGGCCGGGGCAGAATTGGCCCGAATGGCTGTGATGCGAGAATGGCATCCTGCCTGCTTTCACTTATCGTCTTTGCTTGTGTCAGCATGTTTGATAGAAAAAAAATAGTATTAAGACACTCGTCTTGCGAGTTGCATAGTTGGAAGTCAATCAATAAAAAAGAAAGAAAGAAAGAAATGGATATAGCGCAGACATTCAATTCATTGAAAAGCAAGAAGCCCACAGTCGAAAAGAAAGACTACTAATCAAACAGTATAAATAAGGAAAAAAGATGACATTAAACCCAATTTTTTTTAAAAAAAGGAAAGAAGCACATCATCCACCATCTCATTCATATTTTCTGTGCTATACATCCATCTTGGTATCCTGATAGATGGGCATGCGAATAAAATAAAAATATATTCGATTGCAATGAGTCAGCAAGAACGAACAAACCTACCGTACCTTTCTTCTCTCCAGAAACGAGATTAACCGCACAAGTCTTTCTAATTATTAGATGAAACAGTAGAGTAGATGGAAAGCAGGAATCTACTACCTAGGTAAATGGAATCGATTTGAAAATCCCGAGGGGCTTTGGACGGGCATAAAATGGGTGGGATGGTGTTTGCTGATTGATTGGGTGGACGACTACCCGCCAAACGCCGATATCTCGGAATGATTAAATGGCAGGAACAATTGTGATGTCTTGTTTAGACTCGGCTTTTTTTTTTTGAAGTCGCTTCTTGAAACGTACTCCTACATAGATGGCATGAGATTATTGTAAGTTTTGCTTATGACCAGTTATAAATTATCCACGAATGACTTAAAAATCCTGCAGCTTTGGGTGTTGTAGAGTTTGGTATTTTTTACTGGTTAGACGGGTCCAAAAATAATTGGACGAAAATTGCTTCAAGCGTCACTCGTTCAGATGATCTGACAAGAGTTTCATGGACTTGATTGCTTGCAACAAGTCTTCTGTGCAAATAAAGCCTTCGTAAGCTTCCAGTAATTTCACTCCTGGGAGCACAGCTGTAGCGTCGACTCATTCGAACCGAGCAATTTGGAGCTTTGAGCACAGGATTCGTGTGGTAAATACCGCAAGTCCGTAGGATCTTGATTTAAATTATCGACCAGAGTTGAGACGCATCATATCTCTGGAGGTGAAATGTCAATGACCTCTGTGACTTGCTCCAGAGCCATGGCAGTTGCAAGCAAGCATGACCTGTAGACGTCGCAACCATCATAGACACCTCCTCAGCAGCACCATCATCCAATTCAACCAGCCGCAAGAACAGTCGCAACAACGTAGTCGCCATCGTGGGAAATGGACAACTTCCCCAACCGCACGCTGTCACCCTCCCCATCGCCCAGATACACCACCTCCGGCCGACCACTACTACTACCATCAGAACCGGAGTCCGAGTTTTCCGTTCTCACGAGGACATTCTTCCATCCGACAGACGCTGCGCCGCCCGGAGCCGCTTTGCGTGCTGCCTCCTTGGCGGCAAATCTGCCGGCCAGCCAGCGCGCCATTTCCGTCGTGATCGTGGGCCCGCGAGGAGAGGTGTTGTTGTCGCGGTAAAATCGAGCGTGGAAATCATGCTGCTCCTGCTGGGTGAGGATGCGACGCGTAAATCTCTCGAGGTAGCTCTCATTCCCTTTCCTACGAGGCCGGCTTATGAGGCGGAGGATGCGGGGGAGGTGGACGACGTCGGTGCCGATGTTGAGGGCGTAAGGGAAGGGCAGTGGCTTCATGGTCTGGTCTGGCGGCTACGCGCGTGTCAAGCAGGTCAGAAGAGGGTTGATTATCCTTGGGAGTTTGCTATATAAGGTTTTCGGAGCGCAATGGCCGAATGGTGCGGATTTGTGATGACGGGCAAGTACGAAGAAAACTGAAGCTTTCGAGGCCTGTCTGTATCACGGCTCTCTAGAACACTGGCCAATCACAACACCCACTTACACCATTCAATAATACAGCAACGATATGCTCTGGTCTTCGTTGTCAATCTTGCGATAATTTACATTCTTATTTTGTCTGTCTTGAAATTCTACACCGCCTCGCAGAGTTTACGGGCCAGCGGAAGCGCTTTACTATGTTGACTTGTGTTGTGAAGCCTCTGGCTGTCTTCACAATTTTGTTGGCTGCTTTCATCTGTGCAGCCTTACCGGCGTCGTTTGGAATGAACCGTGTTATAGCCATTGGAGACGACAAGTCAAACCATTCGTTCTATAACTCTATATGTACAGTCCATCTTGAACTTGGCCAGGCATCCAGATCAGGAAGCCACTGCACTAGGCTTCGCCGTCGACAAGCAATGCTCCCATCAGGCTCATTCATTCCATTCTCTGGGTCATCACGCAGCGACGGCTTAAACATCGGCCATTCTCTCCAGAGCCTATGGTTCGCACATAACGTCGCATTGTTCGTGAAGGCTTACTGCTTAGCCTTCTTCTCCTCCGCCTCGGTGTTCTTCAAGAACTCCCTGTAGATAACGTGAACAGTCATTAGCATCGTCGAATTGATTCACGCCTATTTTAAAACAACGGCAGACGTACTGGATGAACTGTTCCTCATCCTTGGAGGAGGCGTTGATCGGAGGACCCTGCTGCTTCTTCTTGTCTCCACCACGCGTGGAGAGCCAGACGCCGCCGAAGAGACTGCCGAGGGTGGCCATGGCGAGCTATAGGAATACGGGGAGCATTGTCAGTTCAACAAGTGCAGGACAATGGCAGGTCGTGGACTGGCGATTGAAAGGACAGCAGGGCAGATGATGATCCTGCAGGGCCAACGTACGACGTGAGAGCCGACCTTGCGGCCAGCGATCTGGTAGTAGACAACCATTGTGGCGGGGAAGTGTCGGTTGAGACGCGTAACAGAGCAGAGAGGGACTGGCAGGGACACAAGGGCTGGAGGAGGTCGCTGAACCGGAGATCACGACGAAAGCGAAGCTGCCGGCTTTCGCAGGAGCGGTCTTGGCGGTCTAGCCGAAAGCGGCAAGCGCGTCACGGACATCACATGACATCACATGACGCTGACTAAGCGGTCACCCGAGAACATCCGAGCTTCCCCGAATTCCCCGAGAGTGAGGTCATCGCAGCTGCAGTCCGCTGTATATCCAGCGAGCACGAGATGGACTGATATGCCTGCGCGCTGGGCAGAATGGAGGAGCGCTGGTGCATCGTCTCCATAGAACAGACTAGACCTGGCACCGGCACTGCAATGGAATTGGCCGTGCTCAGCCACCAGCATCATCTGCCCCAGATATGCCGTCCCGGCTGTACGCTCTCCCTCCGTAAATCCGCCCTGTCTTCCTCGGATGCCGCGTGCGGATGCCAGGCTGCTGTGGACGTGACATGCCTGCCCATTTAACCTGCATCTGCCTAGCTTAGCCTTCCCCTGCAAAAGCCAAGCTCCCTAATTACACACCGTTTTCTCCCACTCAACTCGCAGTTCTGCAAAGAAGTACTGTCCTCCGCATCCGTTGCATGTTCCTCTTCTCCACACTGCCGTCGCGATGATCTGGGGTAAGGGCGATAAGAAGGACGACGACGGCGTCGCGCATGTCCGCGACGAGCCTCGCCCCGACTTCAGCAAGCAGCACATCACCCGCGAGAAGCTCCCTCAACAGCTGCAGCAGCTGGTCGACCGTGACGACGACTACTACGATGAGCTGTATTCCCCATAGTACGCGCCCATTTTCCTGTTTCTTGCCGTTGTGCTCTTTGGAGCGATCGGCGGCTTCCCCGCGCTGTCCAAACCCCGCAACCTCTGGGTGCTTTTGTATAGAAATATCGTACACTTGTTGCCATCCATTTGACTTCAACTAACCTGAGCCATCGCTTATTGAAACAGCTCTGTGGATACGACGGAGACCCCATACCGGTATGCAGGCTATGCGAACCGTATCCGGACGCTCCTGCTGTCTGCCCATCGCTATGTCGCCTACACCTCGGACATCGGCGAGTCGTTTCGCCCCGTGGCGCATCCCTGGCTCGTTCGTGGCGCCTATGCCGTCTCCTGGACATACATTCTCGGCGATGTCGCCCACGAAGGCTACAAGGCGTACCTGCGAAACCGTCGCGTGCTGATTCCGCCGGGCGAGGCGTACCGAGACGCGACCGACTTGGGAGCGCAACAGATCATTCGAGGCATGGCGACAGGGAACATTGGCGGCTCCTTGACTTCCAACCACTCGTCGAAGTCGGAGGGGGATGGGGAGAGCGATCCGCTCGTACCGTGGCCGACAACGCGCATTCCGTTGATAGAGGACTACCGGATGGTCATAGCGAAGCGGGCAGTTTTTCAGAGTATCGCCAGTATGGCCCTGCCCGCGTTCACAATCCACTCCGTGGTGAAATACTCGGGGCGCGCCTTGAAAGAGGCCAAAAGCTCCCTTGTTCGGACCTGGCTCCCGATTGGGGTGAGTCACTTGTCTGACGGCTGTCTGTGCATAGGTTGTTCTGCTGACGTGACCGTGCAGTTGGGTTTGGCTGTCGTGCCATTGCTCCCGTATGCCTTCGATGAGCCGGTAGAGCAGGCTGTGGAATGGTCGTTCCACACTCTGTGTCGCGGTATCGGAGGCGAGGAAGCAGTGACACCGGCGCTACCGCCGTCGGAGACCCCTGCCAACAAGGAGATGCCACTCAGCTCGCTGCTGAAGTTGCAATCGCAGAAAAAGCGTCTCGAAGAACCTTCGGAGGAGAAACGTGATACACCTCTAACATGGGAGGAGTACAAGGAGGAGAAACGGCGAGCGCGGGAGCAGCGCAAGAAGGAGCGTGAAGCCAGTGGAATAGGTGGCTGGTTTGGGTTTGGGAAGAAGGAGAAGGACGAGTAATCGCAGCATCTCCAGTCATTCTGCTCTCATATACCTTTTGAGCTTTCTGTACATATCGTCTCTCACTTTCTTTTCCTCCTTTCCTTCCATTTCTTCGGAGTTTGGCGTGGGTATAACCCTGACCTTGTGTCAATGCTTTTTTTTCCCTCTTCCGTCAGCGTCGGGAGCATATGCGTAATGTAGGAAGTCATTCTCCAGTCTTAGAGACCGACCTTCGCGAACATGCCTGCTGCTCGTATGGTATCTTTTGTCCTGCTTGGCAAGTTCAAGAGGAAAAATAGAAATTCTTTTAGCCGATTCTCATGCAATGAAACCAACATGCTAGCAGAAGAAACACTTTTGAACATGACCGGGGCATTCGTATTATATACAGCAGGTACACCACACAAGAACTCCAGTCAGACGCCATAAATGAATCCACAGTAACAACATGCAAACAAAAGCACTTTTTTTTATTCCCACTATATCCTCCATTTAACCAGCACCAGCAGCCTTCCTGGCTCGTCGCTCATTCGCGCGCATCTTCCGCTCATTCCTCTTTATCCGCTCCTTGCGCTCTTGTCGGCTCAGCGTGCGGATGTTCTTGCCCTCGCCTTCATTCTTCCACTCCTTCTCCGGAACCTCAACAAGCCACTCGTTCTCCATGGCCTTGTTCTTGCCCTTGTATCCCCAGCGCGGCACCCACTCGCCCTTCTCCTCGTCGTACACCAGCCTCTTGCGGCGCTCCTTGTCGGCCAGCGCGGCGCCCGGCTTCTTGCTGTACTTGCCGATACCCTTCTTGCGGGCGAAGAGCTCCCACTTGGTTGGCGGTTTCGGTTGCGGGAGAGGCTTGTGCCGTGGCAGAAGGATGTTGGGAGGTGGCAGGGTCAGCAGCACGCCGTCTTGGGGGGACGACGTGATCGGACATGTCGTGAGCAGCTGGTTCAGCAGACATTGGGCGCCGTCACGGGCGGTCGCTTTGAGGACGTCATTGAGAGGCTCGGATGGGGGGATGACCAGGGGATTTGGATCCTGTGCGAGCAAATGGCCGAGGTCGAAGGTGTACGGCGTTGGTTTCGATACGGTGATGGGGCTGCAAATCGGTTAGATGAGCTGCATTTTCACCAGACCAATTCAGTGCGAGCGTACAGTTTTTCTGACTTGGGCTTTGTGGTTGACTCTGCCGGGGCAGAAGCTGCCAGAGCAGTCTCTGTCGTCTCCGTCGACGACATGGCTGCAGCTGTGCTGTGTTTTGTTTGAGCTGAATTTAATTATTTTTTGCGATAAAGCTTATCAAGAAAAATCTCGGATGCAACAATAATTCGCAGCGCCGCCTTAAGCAGGCGGTCAGAGAGCTACAAACGGCAACGCGGCTTTCCCGCTTCGGGCAGCAACGGAATCTTTTGCTGGTCGCTCGCTCGCTCCGTTCTGGTCTGTCAACGCTTCTGCGCAGCTCCCCATTGACCATCTCCGCTGGCTCTGCTGGCTTCTCCAGCACGATGGTCTCTCATTTCTGCTGGGGCTGCCTCTCGGGGCTCCGTCAGACGGCGCCCCGGGCTCTGCTGCCTCGTCCGCCGTCCGCTCTGCCGGCCGCAACGGCGGCCTTCCACACGTCCGCGGCCCGATATGCGAATCCGCTGAAGAAGAAGTCGAACAGCGTGGAGCCTCCCAAATATCGGCAGGCCAAGTCTGCCCGCATGAAGAAGAAGAAGGTCATCGAGAAACCCAAGCCTCCGGCGCCCGGCGAGCGCAAGGCCCTCCGCAAACGCATCGTCCTCAGCAACACCAACGCCCTCGAGGTGCCGGGGATGCAGGACCTGTCGGTCGAGACGATGATCGATTCTCGACTCCGCGGCTCGGTCGTGGGACTGCCTGTGCCGATGCTCGATCAATTGCGGGCGGTGCAGGCGTTCAAGCCCACCCAAGGCTGGTACATATTCCGCCGGCCGGGGACCGTCTTGCGGCGGGAGACGTTGGAGATGGGCCGGTTGTTTGAGAGGATCAGCGATGGGCCGGAGAAGGGCAAGGTGGTCAAGAGGATCGTTACTGGGATGAGAGGAACAGGGAAGAGCGTCCATCTGCTGCAAGCTATGGCGATGGCCTTTTTGAAGAAATGGGTCGTCTTTACCGTGCCGGAAGGTAGGTTCCTACAGTTGTTTCCAAATTTTTGAGATTTCATGTTGACTCTTGTATAGCCCAGGATCTGGTGATCTCCCACACTGCTTATGCTCCGCTCCCTGGTACGAACCCGATCCAGTACGTGCAGAAAGATGCGACGTCTGCTTTGCTGCAACGCACGGCTCTTGCCAATAAGGACGTTCTTTCGGAGCTCCGCATCTGCCAGGAACACCCGGAGTTGGCCTCGTTTGTCCGTCCGAACATGAATCTCGAGGAGCTGGCTCGACTGGGTGTTCAAGACGCCTCCATTGCGTGGCCGGTGTTCCAGGCCCTGTGGTCCGAACTGACAGCCACTGAACCTAAGGTGAACGAGAAGAAATTCAAGCCGCGACCGCCGATCCTGGTCACGGTGGACGGCCTGGCCCACTGGATGAAGGATTCCAAGTACCGCAGCGCCGAGTTCGAGCCGATCCACGCGCACGATCTCGTTTCGTGAAGCACTTCCTGTCCCTGCTCGAGCCCGGCGGGGCGAAGCCGACCCTGCCGAACGGCGGTCTTCTTCTGTACGCGACGACGGCCTCCAACAACCCTACGGTCTACACGTTCGAAATCGCTCTGAAGCAGCTTGCAGCGCGTCAGAACGGCGTGGACCCATCGTCCCCGGAGTTTCCGCGTCCAGACCCTTACGCCAAGACGGACGAGCGGGTTTTGAAGCTGCTGAACGCCGCCAAGCCGCAGTCGCCGAAGGAAGGGGCTCTTGAGCTCCAGACGCTGGGCGGGCTGAGCAGGGACGAGGCCCGCGGGTTCATGGAGTATTTCGCGCGCAGCGGCATCCTGCGCGAGAGAGTGACGGAAGAATGGGTGGGAGAGAAATGGAGTCTGGCAGGTGGTGGGATCATCGGGGAGATGGAGAAGATCGGCCGGAGGTTGAGGACGGCGTTGTAGAGACAACTACCTAAACTCGGCAACTCTTTCATCTCGCGACAGGAATGCCAGTTTCGAATGTGATGGCTAGAAGAACCTTTTCTTCCAATATTGTGTACTTTTAGACAGGTTACTCCTTTTGTTTTCCCACTCAGTTTTGTCTGTGTGTTGTTATGCCCATGTAACTGGAGATCTGATCTGAATATAATAAATAAAATAAAATAAATATACTCCAAAGTTCCTTTCCAGGCGGAGAAAGTCGATTCGAGTCTGACTGACAAAAGATAGACGGGGCATTCATGGCTGATATATTCCCAGAAAGGAAAAGCATCGCTAGCTACCAACCTCCCCGATGCACGTACATAGGTACAGTACAGAGCCGGAACGATGATCCTGTCTTTCCCTCCTATATCTGACTACACTTATCTATGCCCATTTGTTGACAAGTATTTATTCGTGCAAGGGGCCAGAAATCCGGTTATACTGTATTTCATGAATAGAACCACGTGACGTACCAGCACCTACCTTCATTCATTCATTCACCTCTTTCTGCTGGTCGATTTGTAGCAGGAGCAACATCTTCATTCTCCATCTTCATTCAATGCATCCAGATTCGCATCTCTCTTGGAAGCAAAAAAAAATGACAACAGCCTCCCTCCCGCTTCTCCGCGGGAGCATTACCCTATCCCATGCGCTCCGTAAAGACGACAATGTCCTCCTCGAACTATCCTATCCTGAAAAGCGGCTGAGTTTCTATCTCGACCTCTACCAACGCCGTGGCGTCATCGAAGCGCTGGTGGCTCATCATCTTTGCCTTCCTGAGGAGGCCTGCAAGATAGGTGAGGTCAAAGAGTGGATCCATGGCAGTTTCAACGTCTGCATCCCAGTCGACATCTTGGGCAGGCATCCGGCCAGAAAAGTGATTATCAGATTCCCCTTGCCATATAAGCTGGGCGAGTCTGTCTATCCAGGGGACGTGGAAGAGAAACTTCGCTGTGAAGTAGCGACGTACATCTGGATCCAGCAGAACTGCCCTACGGTTCCAATACCCCGGCTTTGGGGGTTTGGCTTTGCAGGTCGCAGTGTATGTGAATTAACTCTGTATTTTTTTCATGCTTGTCTAATTTTATTTGCAGTTCACTGCACTGGAAAATGCGCCTTTTCTTGCCCGTCTTGGGTGGTATTTCCGGAGAATAGCATCATGGCTGTTCGGGTCTCCGCTTTCTTCTCCATATGTCAGCCACAAGCACAACCACGAGGCCAGCGGATATATGATTGTCGACTGCGTCAAAGAGGGCGAGATGCTCTCGACATCGTGGGAGACACACCGACACGATCCGTCCCGCAGAGCGAATCTGTTCCGAGACCTCGCTCGGATTATGCTATCGCAGATCCCTCTCCCGCGGATCGCGTCGTGGACAATCGACGATCAGGGCATCCTGAGTCTGACCAATCGTCCTTTGACCCTGATGCTCCATGAGCTAGAGAACGAGGGCATCCCTACCAACATTGCCAGGACCCTCACGTATCCCGCGACGGAAGCATATTACCTCGATCTCCTCGCGTGTCATGACAGCATCATCCGGCACAAACCAAACGCTATCCGCGACAGGGATGACAGGGAGGCGCAGTTGTCGGCGCTGACGATGATGAAAGCCGTGCTTCCGCACTACGCCTGTCGGGATCTCCGTTACGGACCCTTTGTCCTCTCCCTGACAGACCTCCACCAGAGCAATATCTTCGTCGACAAGGATTGGAACATCACCAAACTGATCGACCTGGAGTGGGCATGTGCTCTTCCCATCGAGATGATCCATCCACCGTATTGGTTGACCAGCGAGGGCATCGACACCCTCGAAGGCACGGCGCTGCAGGAATACGCCCGCGTGCGCAAGGAGTTTATGTATATTTTCGAAAGGGAAGAGAAGATGATGATGAAGACGTTTTCCAGCCTCGATACCTGTCCTACCCCACTAACAAACGCCATCCATCGAGGCTGGCAAGTCGGCAACTTTTGGTACTTTTCCGCCCTGAACAGCCCGCCGGGACTATACAACCTCTTCTTTGACAAGATTCAGCCGTGCTTTGTCAAGGCATGCAGCGAGAAGAAAGCGTTTACCGACTTTGAGGAGGTATTTGCGCCGTACTGGTCTGTGGGCGATATGTCCAAGATCATTGATGCAAAGATCAAGGAGTCGGAGTTGTACGCCTACCAGCTGCGGGCACTGTTTGCGGAGAGGACTGGTGAAGGCGAAGAGAGTGCTGGGAAGGAGAGGAATGCAAATGATCAAGCGAATGGATGAAAATATCGCACACATACAATGATGACAACATGTACTGTACGTCAATTCACCGACAATGCCACCGAGCAAGCAGAAAGGGATGATGATGGCCAAGACAGTATACTAACGTATGAGACGGATAATCAGCTTGACACAGCCGTGTACGCTTCATCCCCATATCCCATCGAGATGAAGAAGGTGACACGACTACTGGACTCTGCTAGCGTCAGTCAGTCAGTCGGCCAGTTATTCCCTTGGATAAGTTGACTGACTAACTGACTGACTGACTGATTGGAAAACCCAGCCTCTCTCACTCAATTCAGGCAAGCCTGAATTGAATGCATTATATGATAATAAATGGCTGTATAGAGTTCCTAGGAATGATAATATCCCGGATCTACCCTGATCTAATCATCAATCAATCAATACATGTATGTATGTACTTATTACCTACTATTATGCCTTATGTAATGTACAGTACATACCTACATATCCTTCTGTACTATACTGCATGTACGTACTGTACTTACACAGCTGCTGCTGCTGCAGCTGCAGCAAGCTGCACGATATCAATCCAAATGACACTCCCAACTGTCTCGACAACGATCCACCTGCCATCACCATCAAGAGATGGACGTAAATCAGGTAAGTGTAGATAGATATAGGACACGACAATCTGCACCTATGTACTGTACAGTACATATCTAGGTAGGTAGCGATGCTTTTCCTTTCTGGGAATGTATCAGCCATGAATGCCTGGTCTATCTCTAACCAGTCTCTGCCTTTGACTTCTCGTTTGTGTGTGCAACAGTAATATGCAAGAGCGAAATGACATGTATATATAATCATATACATACATATAGGTAAGCATATATGTAACTTATTAATAGCTGACATGGCTGTTTCCCTCATCCTTCACCATCTAAAGATAAAGTCATAGTTAGTCTCTCTCTCTCTTTCTATATCTAGACAAGGACAAAACTCACGAGAAATACTCCGCATGAAGATAAACCTCCGTCCTCTGATTCTTCTCTCTCAACACCCGCAATTGCTCCTCTGCAACGGCGTCGCGGACATCCTGGATCATGGCCACAGGACCGCAGACGACGACGCCAATGTTTTTACATCTGGCAGAGCACGACGAAATGATTGCTTGGAGATTGGGTCGTCCCTGGCCTTTGTAGATTTGAATTGTGTTGTTCTCGCTAGTGGGAGTTTGTTTTGTAGGGATGGTCTTTTCTGCGGTAGAATCTGATTCTGATGGTGATTCTGACTCGTTGCAGGTGATATATATCGACGCGGAGACGTTTTTGTTCTCTTTCTCTTCGTCGTCCTCTGATGCGCTGTCGCTGGACGAGAGCAACGACTCCATCTCCCGAGCGTACCATTCTGCGACGGCCCTCTGACGACTAGCGTAGACGATCTGGATACGTTGCCCCGTCTTCTGGTAGATGTGACACCTCCTCAACGCATCGTCGACAATACCCAGCGAAAAGCTTGCGCCGGAGCCACCGGCCACGACGAGCAGAGTGTCGACTCTTCTCACCGCGTCGGTGTTGACGCCGCCGTAGGGGCCGTCCAGCAATACGCGAACGCTGATATTGGGCCTGGCTTCAGCCAGCTTTGCGAGCCGCGCGGTGATGCCAGCACGGGGCTTGATGTAGAAGGTCATCTCGGACGGATGGCCGCATTTCTCCGTCTCGTGGACTGCAGACGAGATGGTGAAGGGGTGCGCGGTCAGACTGTGGATGCCCAGCGTCAGGAACCGGATGAAGACGTGCTGGCCGGGGGTCCAGGAGATGATGGTCCGGATGCGGACCTCGAGCAGACCGCAGGGGAGGAGAGTAAGGGTGGCGGTGTGCAGGCCGTGGAAGAGATGCGTTCGAACGACCGAGTAGAAGAGAGAGAAGAAGTAGATGGAGCCGGTGGCGATGAAGTAGTCCCTCCGCATCAATTAGCAAGGCACAACTAAAAACGGAGGCGTCTGTATGTACCACGAGGTCAGCCGAAAATCGCAATGGAAAAAGAAAAAGACGACAAAGACGACGGCTGCGAGGATGTGAGTCGCCTTGAAGAACTCGTAGTAGCGGTTTCTACATGCGTCAGCCTCTGTCTTCATATAACGAACGGAAATCCTACCGAATCCACGGCAAGGACATAAATGTCAGATACGCCTGCGGGATAATGGCCGCCACGCCCGTCCAGTAGGTGACTTGGGTCTTCCACTGCATGACCATGTCGCCCTTGCCGATGTGGTGGACGATGAAGGGGAACGTGTGGACCAGGGCCAGCACGAACATGGCGTAGCTGGTCCAGTGGTGGAAGATCTGTCATGAGTATCAGTCAGTATGACTCTTAGAATCCTATCTGACCGACATACTTGGAGCTTTTCGTACGAGATGCCCGTTGCGGCAGAGATCAGGTTGGCCTTGGCGGACAGAGCCCTATCCAAGGATCAGTCCATATCCAGACCATCCTTGCGATAAAGGCACGAACAGGACAAAAGGCAGCAAGCCCAGAGCCATCCACCCCGATCTGGTCGCGATGGGCGGGCTGCTTCCAAAGTTGGCTGTCGTGGGCCAGTAGTAAGGCTTGGGGCCGAGCATTAAACCTGCAGAATACATATTAGCAGATATTAATCTGCTTGATTTATCTCGAGAAAAGAAAAATACCAAAAAAGTACGCAATTCCCGCCAGAATCAGCAGGGTCACGCCGATGCCAGGCGACCACCACGCCCGAACGGAGGGGACTCCTCGATAGGACAAATACCGGAGAACGGCTCTAATCGAATTGCTGAGTCTGTTCCTCGAGAGGCGCGGCGGCGCATACGTGGAGAAGAAGTGGGCAAGGGCGAAGACGCCGATGGCAGCGCACGTGAAGTAGATCGTCGCGAGGCCATACACATGATCGGCTTGATACCTGAAACACATACATACATACAATCATCAGCTTTCTGCACTTGGTCAACAAACAAAACCGCTCTGACGAACCAGTATCTCCAGTGTCCGCTGCGATAGGCACACTGTGCCGGTGTCAGCGTGCATTTGTCGGCGCGCGACGAGTGCAGCATGACGGGCTGGTCCAGCCATGGGGTGCCGGACGAGCCTGACATGTCCATTTTGACGTTGATTTCTGGGAGAGTCGGGTAGGGAGATTCAGTAGAGAATTGAAATGTGAAAAGGATGAAATGCTGTAGTATCAGTCATTGCATGGCGGATGAAAGATGTATGTATGTATATGGACGGTATATGCGTACGTAGATGGTGTTTTTTTTTTTTTTAGAAAAACAAAGAAAGCACGAGAAAAGAGAAAACAGCTCTGACCCTCTCTCCGAACAAGTGCCAGTAATTAATCAAGAATTACCAACGGCCTGCCAGAATCTGAACCAAGACTGTCGATAAACAAGCGAAACGGTCTGTGACAAGACTCAATACTCCAGTCGAGTCTGAGCGCGTAATAATAATATCCATTAGGGCTGGATGATCCCAGTACGTACTGTAATCGACGTACTATCATTAATTACATGTAATCCTAATTAATCCAGTACCTCCTCGAGATAGGGAGCATATGCGTATCCCAGCCGTTACAGTGAAGCACTCAATACAGCCGTTGTAACCCAACCAACCCACCGCCTGCTGCAGAGCACAATTGAGCAAGTTTTAGGCACTAAGGCCGCTAGTCTTATCGTCAGAACTGAATATGAATCCCTTCCACATGGCCCTGCCAGATGCAAGCATGACGGGTCCACCACGAGGCAATTATTATTCATCGGTGGGTCGCTTTGATGAGCAGATTTGCGCGTGTTGCCAGCAGTTAACTGCATGATCTGAATGAGAGTAATAATGATCAATCTAACTGGGATGATTCAGCAACAATAGCATAACCTTAATCAATTGTCTTGGTAAACTTGAATACATACTTGTGGTTTGTCACTGATCCATGCCCTAACTTACTAAACAAAACTAAACATCACGCACAACGCCAATAACGACAACGTCATAATGACAGGTGCGGAGTATTCTCTTTAGTGCGAATAACTTGATAATGGAAAACCACCTCTAATCAGCCGATTGGGTATCAGTAGACTTCAAACCGTGCCCTTCTTCTGCTGCTGGTCCAATGCTCGATACCCCCCTCGAACACTGTACGCTTCAACGCCTCGCGCTCGCAGCACGCTGGCGGCCACCCGCGCCGTGTCCCCGCCATAGCAGACGAGCAGGATCCTGCGGCCGCTGACGGCTGACAGTGCTGGAGATCCAGACCCAAACAGGCTGTCGAGTTCCCGCCATTGGGCCTCCAGCACGACCGGGTCGAAGAATGGCGATGCCGTGTCGGCGTCGAGACTGCGAAGAGGAAGATTCACGGCATCAGGGAGATGCCAGGTCTCGAAGTCAGCTGCCTGGCGGAGATCGATGACGGAACAGTTGGCTTTGATAGCTGAATCCACGGGAAACGAGGATAATGAATCGAAGAAACTGCCCAGCACGTCGGCGGGATTCTGCTCCCAGCTTTCGTCGTACCGGTACAGATCGACCTGTGTCAGTCGCTGAGGAAATATTAGCCAAAAGTCCTAGAGTATCAAGGAAATCTGTACTGTAGGGCTTGCTGCCTACCTCATTCTTGATCGGATGGAACTTCTCCGGCCCCAGCTTGTAAAAGTACTCGTCGATATACTGGTACGGCAGATCGCAGCATAGAAACACGCAGTGAACCAGTCCATCGGGCCCTGCCAGATCGCTCAAAGAGCCGCTCTGCTTGCGCTTGTCGAGCATCTGGCACAGTCCTTTCAGGTTGAAACCCGACGACGGTCCACAGATCAACCCTGCCCGACACAGCTCCAGCGAGACCCGGAACGAGTCGTACGATCCCACCTCCTCGATCGCGTCGACGGCTGCCCGCCACGGAAACTCGACTGGCTGCAGCAGCGCGTACGATCGCGGACCGGGCACTCGATCCCCCGGCGCGGTGCACACGCCCAGTCGGTAGACGGACGGCTTGGTCTGCTTGAAGTACGTGCCCAGGCCGGTCATCGTGCCGGACGTGCCCATGCCCGCGCAGATGACGTTGATGTGCGGGAGTTGCCTGAAGATCTGCGGGCCCGTCCAGCGGACGTGGGCCTGCCAGTTGAGGTCGTTCTCGTACTGGTTCGGGTTGACGACGGCGTCGTCTTTCTGCGCTTGCATTCGGGCATTCTGGATGCCGCCTCGTTCATCCAGCGGTTCTGGCTGCGATGGCCCGCCGAAGAGCGTCAGGTCGAGCCCGAAGAACTGCATCAGACGCAGCTTGGCGGCGCTCGTCTTATTGCTCAGGTACGCGCGCACGTCGTCGATGCCGTGGAAGATGCGCGCGATCATGGCCATCGAGATGACGGTCGAGCCGGAGCTGTACTCGACGATGGTCCGGGTGGAGGGCGAGACGCTGGATTGCAGCATGTTCAGGGCTAAGCCGTCAGCTTGCAGCTTGTATACTTGGCAGATATGGACCTACCAGGCAACGCCTTGACGTTGTTGGCCGGGTGCATGCTCATCATCTTGGCGTAGATGCGCACGCCATCGTCGTAGAACGGGTTCAGATGGCGGGGGATCTCGACCAGCGGGAGCGGAGGCTGGCAGTCGGGGTCGAAGTATTTCTGGAGGGAGTCTGGTCCGATGTAGACATTGAGGTGGTTGTCTGGCTGCGTTTTTGGCTGTGGCTGTGGTTGAGGTTGTGCCTGCGCCAGTGTGCACTGGATCGACGATAATATCCTTCCCAGCATGATGAGGGCAATCAACAAACACGACTACTGACATGAGATAGATGGAGATATCTCAGTAATATATTACTACATCGCTGATAGACGATAACCCGGTTCCTGCCACTGATCGGACTGGTATCGATTACGTATCAGAATATCACCTCGACAATACCACGGCAGGCGTAGAACTAAGTAGTTACTCACGGTGGGCTGTGACAGCGGGCTGTCGGAGCACCGGATGGCAAAGTAACTGGCTTATACGAAAACAATTGACCAAGGGTCAGGATCCACTCGAACGCAGGAGATCAGCGCAGAATCCTTGCTCTGGAGGATAGGACGGAGATGAGGACCTCTGGTGAGTGAATTTAAGCGAACGAAAATATTCGTTCTTACTCTAGGCAATTTCACTTTGCTGTGCATGCGTGCTAAGGGACATGGGCAGTATTGCAGTCTGGTAGCGTGCCTTCTAGCCATACTCTTATGGAGAAGATCGAGAGAGATGTATTGTACACACCAAAGAAAGCAGGTATGCTATACAAGGCAACCATCTCGCTGGCAGATCTCGTCTGCCTGCCCTACCTGCTGATGACCTTGCCTCGAGGATTAGATCTTCCATTGTGTAGTAATGTAGTCTACTCCTGATAGAACTAGGTACTCGTAGATGAAAACATTCATCTCAAGTCCCAACTGGACAGCTTCATGATCATATAGCATATTCAATATACGTGTATTCAAGCGTAAACACTCCTACCTACTTGCGCAATTCATTTGATTTTAATAGAATGAGCTATGGTATGCTATAACATAGTATACGGGTACCCTGGTATAATCTGATAAGCGGCTAGTCTCCAAGGTCCTCGAGTCGAGAAGGAATTAATCGTTTCTCTACCTTGTATCTGATAATACTGTCACTTGCTACAGTTACATGTGTTAAAAAGAATGTTTTCTCACAACGAGATAGTTGAGTTTTACCAGGGTTACTTTTTTATAATCGTCTCAAGTAACAGATACATGTACTGTATGTACATACCTTAATGGGCAAAAAATATATACCTGTCTGTACAGTACAGTACATATATTGTCCGTGAGAACGTTTGAGAAGATTTACTAGCTTAGAGTTCACGATCGACAGGGAAAAAAAGCCTTGCCGACTTCCCCTCCTACCTCATTAGGAATAATTCTGGGAATTAAGTCTTCAGCCACGCGAGGACCCTGCAAGTATTGTACTGTAAAGATTATCAGATTACTTCATGCCAATCAATAACTCAAATAAATGTTGATCTCCACTTGAAACAACGCTCGCAGTATAAGCGCTCTTGGCTTGATCATCATGACTCACAGGAATTCTCCTGAATACCTACAGGCAAGTTTGGTGCTCCGTGCGGAGTACATGGATTGATTGATTTGTTTGGATTACATCCATGTATACTGTAATTGAATAACGTGTGTAATTCATTCAGCAGTTTTTTCCCTACTTAGTCCATACTCTAGAGAGAGTTGAGCTGATCACTATGCTATGCTGTGTAGAGTAACCGGTAAGAAATAGTCATTCCTACACTTCATCTGCAATTTCGTTTTCTTTCTTCTCCCTTTCGTGGGTGTTCTCAATTAAAAGGGGTCTAGCCAGACTGAGATCGGAAGAGTCGTTTATCCATCTTTTCATTCTCGTCCGTCCAGACATTGATTGCGCTTGTTTACTTGCTGACTGCAATTGCAGGCAAGTCCTATCATGCCAGACCAGCAGCCTGCCCTTGCTACCTCGGCGGTTGATTCCAATCTCGAAAAGGCACAGAATGCCATCCCTACTCCATCTACAGAGACAGCTGTCAAAAAGACAAGCAATGACAACGACACGAAGGATAAGCAAAATGCTTCGGAAAAGAAATCCCCCCACGTCTTCAACGAGCAGACAAACTACGTCCCCAAACGCGTCATCATCACTGTAAGTGAACCGTGATCCTCATCCATCCCTGGCAGCGCGCTGACGACGTAGATATTTCTCGCCTGCGCCTCGGTCGACCTCCTAGCCTTGATGGATCAGACGACACTCGCGGCGAGCCTGTCAATTATCAGCAATGCCCTGCAGGCAACGGATCAGGCGGCCTGGATTGCGGGGGGTTATTTTGTGTGAGTCTCTGTCTGATTCTTCTTTGCTATGATATGGACTATTAAGACAGACTAGTACCTCCACCTCCTTCCAACTCCTCTACGGCCGCCTCTCAGACATCTGGTCGCGCAAGGTGATCCTCTTCATCGGCCTGGGCATCTTCTTCGTCGGCTCGCTTGCCTCCTCACTGGCCAACACCGCCACCCAGCTGATCGTCTTCCGTGCGTTTACCGGCGTCGGCGGCGGCGGCCTGATGAACGTCGCCCAGATGATCGTCAGCGATGTCGTCCCCCTGCGCGAGCGCGGCAAGTACCAGGGGATATTAGGGTCTGTGGTCGCGCTGGCCAACGGCATCGGGCCTGTCATCGGCGGCGCGTTGGCCTCACGGTCCGCGAACTCCTGGCGGTGGATCTTCAGACTCAATATGCCGATGACAGGCTTGACGACGCTGTGCTGCTTCTTCTTCATGCCGCTGCGCAAGGTCGAGGGCGACTGGCGGATCAAGCTCAAGGCGATCGACTTTGTCGGCTGTCTGCTCGCTCTGGGAGGGACGTCCGTCCTCCTGCTGGGCCTGACCTGGGGCGGCGGCGAGTACGCGTGGGATTCGAGCCATGTCATCGCGACGCTGGTCGTGGGATGCGTCGTGTGCGGGCTGTTTGTGCTGTGGCAGTGGAAGGGCACGTCGACGCCGGTGGTGCCGCTGCACATCTTCAAGGCGCGCATCGTCAACGGCGCCTGTCTGACCATGTTCATCAACGGGTGGAACTTCCTAGTGCAGGTGTATTACATTCCGACCTTCTATCAGCTGGTGTACGGCTATTCGGCCGTCAAGGCGGGGGCGCTGCTGCTGCCGATCATATTGATACAGAGTGAGCAGCCCAACAGATCGCTATCTCTGCAGAGCTAACATCGACTGCTGGTAGCCCTGAGTAGCACGCTCTCCGGTCTGGTCGTCCACTGGGTCAGTCGCTACCGCGAATGCATTTTGCTAGGATGGGCCGTGTGGGCGGTTGGACTGGGCCTGTACTCGACGCTGGATCCGTCGTCCGGACTGGGGAAGCAGATTGGCTATGGGATTCTGACTGGTGTGGGAGTGGGCAATACATTGCAGCCGTGAGTATCCTCAGAGGAAACAAAGTACATATCTTGCTTAGATGCTTTTAGGGCTCTGATTGCCGTCCAAGCGGGCGTGGAAAGACGGGACATGGCGGTCGTTACGTCGTTCAGGAAGTATGTCTAACGCCATAAACTGAAGAATAAAATACTGACAATGCATAGCTTCATCCGCAATCTGGGCGGAACCCTTGGTCTGGCTGTGTCAGGGACAATCATGTAGCCTCACCCTCACACACTCTCTTATCCTTTCCATCGTTACTAACAAACAACATACAGAAACAACCTAGCCCTCTCATCCCTCTCCAACACAAACACCAATCTCACCCTAACCACATCTCAGATCCAAACCCTCCTGACCAGCCCGCAAACCTACCTCTCCACGCTTCCCCCAGAAGAAGCGACAGCAATCCGCACGGTGCTGATGCCGGCGTACCAGCGCGGATTCCGCATCGTCTTCATCATCGGCGCCAGCCTGGCTGCGCTGGCATTCTTCCTGGCCGTGGCGTTGATGCCGCAGGTGGAGCTGAACCGGGCGGATGACGAGAAGTTGAAGGAGGAGGGGAAGAGACGGGCTTTGGAGAGGAGTCGTCGGCGTAAGCGTGGGAAGGGTGAGTCGGAGGAAGTGTGAATAGCATTTACAAAGAGACTCCTAGCCTTGCTAGAAGATAATATAAACTATATGATATATGCATATCCCACTTTAAATGACTACTAGAAAAGAAATCTGTAGCAGACAAACAATACACAATAACCTCTGGCGGTGCTGTCTTTCTAAATATAAATAGATGTAGATATATTACCTACAGTAGCTCTCTAAATTGGTGCAGTGCAAAACATTCTTCTTAGGTTATGTATCTACCTAATGTGTTTTACCGGCAGTAAGTCATAATCTTACATATTTTTCTAATCAAGACAATTCAATCATTAGTCCCTTACGGATTGAGATCTGTGTAGAATAGTCCGTAAGTAACAATATCCTATTATGGAGGAACATGCATTTACTGGTGTGACCGTGGTTGCTCCCGTGAGAGTTGACCTGCGATTAACAAATATTTACCTCCTATTAATCCGGAAAATGTTTCATTCAAGGCTATTAGACCTAGAATTATTCTTGATTGGGTATGGCAGTTATTTCCGGAATCTGTATCCTCTAATGAATTCATGTATATGTAATCCATGAATTCTTCGCACAGTTGGTATTTCTTAGCCATCAGTTTAAGGAGCATTCCAACGCTGAAAATGAGAATGCCGAGAATATGTAATACTGCTATAGAACCTCGGCAGAAGGACTGGGAGGGCGAAGGCGATATGGTCGCTACAACCAATATATCTATATAATAGGTAAGAAAGCATGTAGATAAAATTAAATTAAAGGCTTTAGAAACTACATGAAATAAAGATACATCTAAGATAAAAATATTATTTTCCTTTTTTCTGCTGCTGTTACTGTTTCTTTTTTTCTACTTTTTTTTTCGTTTTTCGTATTTTGCAGATACAACGGTATTGTTAAAAGAGACTTTTATCTAAATCAAATAATTTCCCCCAAACTATCTTTTTTTGTTTCTTGTACTCCTTTTTATTTTCGAAAATCAAATACTTTGTAATTACATACTACCCATTGAATAATAACTGCTATATGACAATTTCTTATATTTACCATAGAAAAAAAAACTAATCCCTCTTGATGGGTCATATAATATGCTTCACAGGCTTGACGGGCTAACCCTGATTCCTTCAGGCTTGATGGCAGGATCAGGATCTATATCTTGGTTGATTTACTTTTCTTTCTCTCGAAATCTGCACATTGGTCGGTGATTTCGCAAGATCTTTTTGAACTACTTAGCATTTCACTACACATGACTTGCTTTCAGCTAGTCTCGCCCATGATCCTACGGCGACTGCACGACCTCTCGTGCTGTTATCCTCTCCGCATTCTCATGTCTTTATGGGCGTCTGGATCCGTCGAAAGTCCGGATTCCACTCTCTGTCGTCAAAGAAGAATTCTTTCCTCTTCTCCCACTTATCCCACGTCCGCGCTGGTAGACAGCCGAGGGTGCTGACCATCTCGCCGTGATATCATCGGGATCGTCGGCCCATACTTTGAAGAGGGGTGTCTGCCGAGAATTTCATAGAGAATCAGCACCAAGATCCACTCATGTGCTGCAGAAGTGATTTCTCATTAAAAATCCTCTGGTGGGAGTAGACTAGCAGGCGTGTGTAATGTCGCAGATTCTGCATCCTCTATCATAAATGACATGCCAACGTCTGAGATTTGGATTTTTGGCTCGATGACCTTGTTTGCAGCAATGACAGATTTATCGGAATGATAGCATGAGAAGGGGCTTTTTGGGCCAGAGGGGCTTGTCGACGCGTGAATAGGCACTCAAACCGTTTATACTTCTTCAACAGTCATAAAGTCAAAGTTTGCAACGCGCAGAAGAATCGTCCCATGCGCATGGTTTGAAATGAAGTGTAGAAGAATAGTCAAATACAGGCGTTTTACAGATGGCCACACTGTAGAAGTCGCCTTTGCTGAAGTCCTGCATCAACTTCGCAAGTGCATCGGCTGATGCCAAGTTGCATACCACACTGGTTCCATCAGAAATATGTTTATCCATTGAAGGAACGAAACTAAACACTTCGACATATTGAGGAAGTACATGTTGATTCTGGGGAGACTGCCTGGAAATTGGCTAATTTTATCACTAACGACTATCCAAAGCACTTCTGTCATAGCATAGCATCCATGTGGTCTGAACGATGATGAAGTCGAGTCGCAAGTGGACGAGCACGTGAGCAACTCTGCTGCACCAAACAGCGTTACCTCTCCTGCGTCCATGTCTTTCAACAGATCTCTGTTTATTAATGGTGGTGATAGTACGATTGTAAGCAGTGACAAACGATTCCTGAAGACGTATACTGTACCGTTGTAGGAAATATGCAGCAAATATCCATAGCAAACACAGCTAATCTCTCTCGATATGACATTGTTTTTGAAGTAAACGATGTTAGTACAATTTGCAGGGCTAGTGCAACTCGCAGAGCGTGTCTTAAATAACAATATCCTACAGAGTATATCGAGCTTATATCACCGAACCTCAGCATGATATTATCTTGACAGGGTATTCCTTTCGGAATCAACCAAGACTGAAAAAAAGAGTTCCCCTAAGAAACAGCCTTGAATAGTAGACACATTATAAATCAACTGCTTTAGCAAACCCTAGACGATAGCTAGCATATTTATAATCAGAAGATGTAATCTAGCAATTTAGTTAGGAATAGCAAACAGATGGATACCCCCAAGTTGAAGTTGAATCGGCGGCAGCGTGACTCGTAGGCAGGCCATTTGGAAATCCCAAGGATCCCAGGGTGATGGATGGGATGGCTGTGGGAAGAAGGTTAACCCTCTGGAAATCCTATAGGAAATAGGGAAAGAAAAAAAATCCCAGAAAATTAATTTCCATGGGAAAATAAAAATTTCTTAGGGTGTCCTTTCCATCCAAAAACAAAAATAGTGTGGGGAATAATCCACTAGGATTTCCATTTCCCCATGGATGGATGGAAGGGAAATCAAATCCCACGGAATTTCCTGTTCATGCGGCCAGTCTACGCCGCAACAAAGGAGACCGATCTCGATCCATTGGAAACAGATCAATTAATTGATTGATCCCATGTGATTTAGTATTCATAATCAGCCTTTTCCCACCTTTTTTGTACCTAAATTCATGCTCTTCACAGCTTGCGATGACAAAAATTCTTCAATCACATATAATAAAGCCTTTTTCTTTTCTTTTTTTTTTAAAAAAAAATAAAAAATAAAAAGGAAAAGGATTAATATATTGGATCCCTTAAACTAAACCATATTTCCTTATTTATAGATATCTAATCCGTAGTAATATACTACTCGAAGTATCTCTCCATCAGCAGTCACATCGATATTGCATTTATGCGACGTCTAAGTTTGCGTTTCTTTTTTTGTCCCCTTGTCCTTGTCGGAGATATCTGTGTGTGCTCAACACCCGTTGCTATTTGCAGAGAATCAAAGAAAGAGATTGGACAAAGACACGGGATCTATTGTTTGAACTTCTTCGTATGCTCATAGGCATAAATATGAGCTAAAGTCCTCCAGGAGGCTTTCTTCCTTGATTATTCCTGTACACTAGACTGCCTGTTCTGCTGATGGTCTATTTAGAAAATATGTATATCATAATATCTTATCGAGCTATTGATCATTTCTTTACTTAGTTATTTATATAAATAAATAATCCTTTCACCTTGAATTAAAAACTTTACATTCCCGGACTGTAGGCAGTACGTACTTCATTCCATACATATCTTCATCTATCTACGTATGTATCTATACAATTCATATAACAATAATGACAACAAATTCATACCTGATCTAGTTATATACTGTACGTACACGTTGCTATGCAGATTTCTTCCAGTCCAGTCCAGACCTAAATAAAATCTGTCAACATGAGAAGAAAACATAAGCAACACTGATCACAATGCGTTATGCTGTCAAACAAGTATGTCTAAGGAACAATGTTTCTTGTAAACTACCTAGCTAGCTACAGACAGTCCTTAGTGTAATAAAAGGGATTGTCCACGTTCTTCAATGATGGACCTTCCACACGTGTTGGGTGGAGGATCCGACTACGACTACATATGTACGGTATGACTGTTGATGTTGCTGCACGTGACAGAACACTTTTAGAAAAAAAAATAATTCAAGTCTCTCTCCCCCCAGAAGAAGTCCGAACAACTTGAAATAGTAATCTATGCAAAAAGTATGGTGTTGAAGATTTCTGCTCTCTCCCTCTTAAGACATACAGTAAATACATGTAAGTTTTTCTGCTGGCAAAACATCTCCCCTGTAACAATTATATCTCCTACTAGGCATCTAGTCCTGTCACCATCCACCATCCATCGCTGGCTATAAATATATACATACCTAGCTATAATTATATATTTACAATGCAACCATTCTTCCCTCATCACTATCTATCTATCTACAGATGTTCTTGTTCTAAAGAAACCCACCACCTTCCTCTCCATTATCCATCATATACATCCTGCCACAACGCCGTACTGCACCTTTATCGATGGGTCGACCACATGGACTCTCCATTCCCAGATCATAAATGGCTGATCCGTGATTATAGGTTAAAATCATGTGTATGGATAGTCCATCACATGTATATACATGTACGGAGATGGAGGAGGGTCCTTCCTTCTATCTTCATCAAGGATTACTCATAGTGAATGTATATAGATGCCATTAAGTCGCTAGAATATATGTATGTACAGTACATACATACATTGGCTATTATCCATTATCCATGTTCCACATCCATGTCCATGTGCTTGCTTGCTGAATTTAATCCGCCATATTATTCCAGAAATAATCAAATCAAACAATCAAATAAAATAATCAGATCAGATCAGATCAAAGCAAAGCAAAGCAAAGCAAAGCAAATAAATCAGCTCAAACACAACCCTTGCTTGTCTCTTTAACCATACTATTTCCTCCTTTCAATTCTTAAATCCCAAACAAATCTCAAATCAAATCCTTCTTTTCTAAAGAATTTTAAAGAAACTCCAAAAAAAAAGTTATAAAAAGGGGCCTTTTCCCACCAACTGACACTGACACTGACACCGACACCCTCGTATACATATACAAAAATGGGTTCGCTGTGTTGGTTGGTTATGCAACACATAACACATAACGCACAAGACATATGCCCATACATACACACATATGCATACACATACACAGATTGCATATACACACCTATGTTATTTATGTTGATGTCTGTAGTTAGTAAGTACTACCTAAGTATGCATGTAGAGGTAGATACGTAGAGTATGTACTGTACATACGCCAGGCCCAACAACAACAACGCGGCTCAATTCCGCAATTCCGCATTTTCTATTTCTGTCCCCAAGTATTTAATTATGTAACTACCTCACTACTGTACCTCACCAGCCTAAGTAAGTAAGCAACTAAATCTTCTAGAAAACCAGTAAACCAGTAAACCAGTCACTCAGTCACGCGTAAACGAGCAAATCCATCTTTCTTTCCAGAAAATAATTAATTCCGGTTGGTGGAAATTTAGATTTTACCTATTTATTTAGTTGGCTGGGGCTGATTAGATCATTCGAATATTCGGAAAGCAGCCGAAGTTTCTTTCATTAGATCGTTCGCTCATTTATATAACGTTCGGTTTCGGTTCGGTTTCGGGGGCCGAAGAGATGGATAATGGATCATGGAGGAGGTTGGTTAAGTTAGAGAAGTTGCGTAAGACGGGGGCGGAAATTTCCGCCCTCTCTTCTACATTAGGTACATATTTAACTAAGTACATACGTATACTATAACTATGATTATACTACACTATACTTTACTAAATATAGATTGATTGATCGACATACGTATCTACGTATAATATACCTAACTTAGCTACTGCGTACATTCTTTGTAGCTGCGTATAGTATAACTCAGTCAGTAATACAGTACTAAAAGTACCTAACTAAAGTAACTAAAGTAACTAACTAACTAAGTGACTATGTATGGGGGAATATATAATACATCCTTCAAGGTTTGTACAGTGCAGTACAGTACAGTACAGTACACGTCCTTCCTCTACCTACGACCTACCCTCAAGTGTGTATATATTACCCTGTAGGTATGTACATACATATGTACAGTACAGTACTCTGTAGTAGATAACTGCATGATAGTTAGGTACAGTACCTACCTACCTAGTAGCTACCTAGGTAGGTGTGTAGATGAGTACCCTCGACGCAACAAACCATGGGAACAACAATAACAGTTCCAACACAACAATAACCGTTCTAACAGTTCCACAATTTACCTACCTAGTAGCTAGCAGTACAGTACCTACCTAGCTAACTAACTAATTAACTAACTAGCGATCTACATACGCACGTAGACAAGCTTCTAGCGATTCTAGCGAGGCTTCCATGGTCTTCTTTTCTTTTTCTGATATTCTTTTCTTTTTCCTTTCTTTTGGCCCCTACCTGCTAACCTACCTACCCCAACCCAAACCATAGGTCTACGTAGGTATCCACCTGGTGCGTACTCCATTCTCCATTTAAACTCAAAAATCGCAAATTATTGAATTCTAACCATCCTTCAAGAACTAAGCTAAAACTACCTAAAAACCAACCTAATCCTAATCTTAATCTACTCTAATCTACCTAATTCTATTCTATTTCCCATTTTCTATTTATGTATACCTACTAGGGAACACTACACTACACTACCTACGTATGTACATACAAGTACGTGGATAGCTATGGGTCGAACTTGGGGGCTCTCGTCTCGGGGGATGGTTCCTTACTCAGTACTTAGTAGTAGGTAGTTATATAGTTTGACTTTGCGATGTGCATTATTCATGCATGCAGTATACTCCATACTTTGTACAGTATGTCCAAACAAGGTAGTAAATTGCGAGGTGCATCTGTGTGGATGGGTCATGTGACTGTTCCTACTGAGTATGGTCATGAGGACTTGACTCCTCTACAAGACGTAGGTAATTGAATTGTACACAAACTGACTCAGTTGATGGATGTAGTCATCATTCATGACATGCTATACTATATACCAGTGCAGCGGCGCAGCCACCCGTACAAACAGAACTCAACAAACACAACGCGTATAAACAGTGCCAAACAGAATCAACTATCGTACACGCACACCAGTGCAGATCCCATCCAGATAATTCCATCCCATGCACTTCCCAGATTAAGTACGAGAGTAAATGTTAAAAACATGCCGAGCAAAATCCCTCGCCCTCAACGCCAGCTTAACCGGTCCAATGATCCCTATCGCACCGCTGACGCTGTCGCAAACCACATGCGGGTATATCGTAGTCCATATGTATGACAAGCGTATATAACAAAGAACTCTTCTCTAGCACACGTCTTCCGCCGCAAAGTATCGGTTACTTCGACTGCGTGCCGCCATCAACTTGTAGTCCGACGGCATGTGCGTGTGGTGCACCACGTGCGGCCGGTACACCGCATCCACCGGCGCCTGCCAGTCATCCATGCTCAGCGGAAAATACTCGTACAGCAGATCCGCACTCTCGCTCGGGTACGGCAGCGACGAACTGAACGACGACGGCGGCGGGTGGAACGGCTGCTGCAGCGCCGCCGTCGTCGCTGGCGCTGTGAGCATCGGAACGGTCGTCGACGCTGCCCGGTTGGGCCGCGTTCGCGTCGGCGTCTGCGTCTGCGTCTGCGCCACCTTCTGCATCTTGGCCGGGGGTGCCTCCGCCGCGTCCGGACTCGACCGTTTTTGAGACGTCGTCGTTGCGGTGGTCGAACCGTTTGCGTCGGCCGTCGTCGTCGGATTGGCCGTACTGTTCTCGCTAGACGTCGTAGGCGATTCTTCTGCCGGTTTGGCTGGCGTCTTAAAGTCGTCCTCCGACAGGGACAGGGCGATCGGTGGCGCCGCACTCACACTCGGTTGATGCTTCAGCTGGCCGGGACTGGACTGTGGATAGACGGGCAGCCCGTTGGGCATGTTAGCAGGAGCAAAGGACGGCGTCGCTAGAGGACCCGCCGTGTTGGCTGGAGCCGGCATCTGCGTCCAATCCGCAGAAAAGGACGGCGACGACGATGACGGCGCCGGCGGGATGCCAGCCGCGTCAAACGGCCCCATCATCTGCGACATCTCCGGCGGCGAGCTGCTCTTGCTCGGGAGTTTTGCCGGAGCCGACGTCGCAACCGGCGTCTGGCTCGCTGGGTTGTCGCCGGCTGTCGTCGCAGCAGCGGCGGCGGCGGCAGCAGCAGCAGCGGCAGCCCGATTGGCAACATGCTGATTCTGATTCTTTCGTGACGAGGCCGCGCTGCTGCTCAAGGGCAGGTCCTTGCGCGACTGGAAGTTGCGAGGGCTTCGGCCACGCACGATGACAGGGCCCGAGTGCACCTCACAGATCGGGATCTTCGCGCCCGTCGACAGGGTCGCCACGACCTTGAGGCGGACAACAAAGTGTTGCTGCAGCTCCTTGCGGCGGCCGTTGTTGGCCGTCGCGATCCGGAATTGCAGTCGCTTCCAGGCGATGGGAAACGTCGCGTAGTCCGAATCCATGTCCTGGCCGGCGGCCATCGTGTCCAGCGGGATCGCCGGCGGCTCCTTCTCGGCCTTCTCCTCCGGCGCGGGCGGCGGCGCGTTCCCATTGCCGTTGGCAGCCGCGGCGGCCGGCGTCTTCCAGGGCACGGAGATGATCTTGACAGGGTTCCCCTCGACAGACTCGGTGGCGGAGACGGTGAGCTCCTGGGCGAGGATCGGGATCCGGTCGCCTTGGTCAGTCATGATGTAGCGCAAGTTGCGAGGCAGGGTGACGGAGCCGGTGATCTGGAACAGATTGCGGCGGTAGCAGGTCAACTCCGCCACCTGGGGCGGCGGCACCTCAGTAGGCGAGTTCGTCCAGGGCGATTCGGCCAGGAAGAACATGCCGTGCAGCTGGGCCGTCAGGGACAGCGACGTTCGTCGCAGCGAGTAGTCGAGCAGGGTGAAGCTGTAGATAGGCATGGAGAAGGAGAGCAAGCGGTGATTGTGGTCGACGGACGGTTCTGCCGGCGGCGGCTGCTGCTGTTGCTGCTGCTGCTGTTGTTGTTGCTCCGAGGAGAGCGACTCGAAGGGAGGCGCCATCACCTCCGGCGGGGGAAAGGCTTCCTCATAGGTGGAGAAGCGCCTCATGGGGGCTGCCATGCCGGGCTGCGAGAAGGCCAAGTCGTCACCGCTGTTACTCTCATTAGCCGTGGGTTCCTGTCATCGCCCAGCCCGTTCTATTCTGGGATCTTCATCCTTCGTCCGTGACACAAGGGGAGCCGTGCGCGCGCGAACACATGGACCCTGTGTCGCCTTCGGAGGCACCGAAGGCTCAGGACGGGCGGACGTGCGCACGCACCTGACAAAAGTCTCGGTATCGAAATTGGACCGCTGGTCTGGAAGGTCCATCGGAGCCATGGCGTTGAGGTAGTCGGTGCCCTGCATATTGCCGAGGGAAAGCGGGCTAGCCAGGTAGGAAGACATGGTCATGGTGTCGAAGCCCTCCATGGTGAGAGGGAGCGGGCTGACGGGCAGCCCTGGAAGACACGAGAGCGGGGAATGATGAAGACAGGACGGAGGATTGTCGGTTGTCGACGAGAGCCGGACGAGGGCGGTTCGTAGTCGTTCACTGAGGGGCAGCGACAGCGGACCTCATGCGCGACGACGACAGTATAGGCGAGCGTATTCCTCGACGAGGGTGGGGAGGAGGGTGTGGCAGGCGGATGAGGATATATACTGTTGACGTCGGGCACGAGGGTGAGCGAGGGGGGAAGAGAGCTGGCGGAAGAGGAGAGGGGAGAGAGAGGGCAGGTGGAGGAGGGACGAGATCTATGTATGTAGGTACCGCACCTCGTGTCCTAAGGACTAAAGTATGGCAGGACGTCGACGGCAAAAAGGGACGGCCGATGGGTCCAGCGCCGGGGGAAGCGAAATTAGGTGCGCGCAGCAGGAGCCAGAGCAGGAGGGACCGTTCGATAACAGCGAGACAGGCATGTGGGCGCAGGCGATAAAGGCAGCGGAGTCTGCAGCAGCAGCAGCAGCAGCAGCATTAGCATTCGCATTAGCATTGGCATTAGCATTAGGTTAGGTTAGTTAGGCAGGTTAGGGCAGGCAGGCCCGGAGTGGGTGCGGGATGCGGGCCAACCTCAGTCAGACGCGGCCAGCAGTCGGCTGGGCCGTTTCTCGTGTGGACCAGCCGGCTATAGGTACAGTACCTAAAGGCTGATGGTGATCCGGAGACGAGCGGATCCTGGGGCTGGGGCTGCTGGCAGGAAATACGCTCTCGCCTTTGGCTTCGTCTGGTCCCGGCGGGAAGGGAGCGGTGGGCTCGCTAACTCGGCAGGGCAGGACGCGCGCGGGTGGATCGGCTCAGACGAAAAGGCGCATCCACGGCTGTTCCTGGCTTGTCAGCCCTTGGAATCCTAATCCTTCTCTGTAGGCAATGCCAAAGTGCTGGCGCAAAAGGCAACGAGCTGCCAGGGGAGCTGAGCTGAGGGAGTCGCGCACATGCCAGGCGCGAATCAGCACTGGGCGCACCCTGGCCGCCACTCCGGGAGCGGCAGCAATGGACATACGCTGGCTAAGAATAACCAGAATACCAGATCCATGTCAGACTGGCCGCAAAAAAGAGGACCAGCAAGTGGGGGGAGCAGTGGACGGCCTGGCTGGGGGGCCATCCGATGAACGTGCTGGCAGCGAGGCCTGGGATGGAGTTGATCTGATACGGTGGGTAATCGGGGGGGAGGAAAAGCAGGCTGTAAGGATGACAGGCAGCTCATTCAATCCTATTCAATCCTGCATCCTCTGATCGGCCTCGAGGATTGCAGCGGAGAGGCCGTAATGCCTGTCGGAAGGAGCAAAAAGGAGTCGCTGATTCGCCACTGCTGGCTCGTGCAATTTGCCGCTGTCACGACCAGCTGACCAGCGTCTTGCACATGCTTTCTGTCTCCTGCACTGCTCTCGTGCGTATCTACAGTCCGTACTCTGGGGCCCAATGTCCACTGTCCCACTGGGCCCAGTCAAGGCTTCTTTCTTGCCTCCTGCCTGCCACCGCAAGACTTGCCCATCCGGGCGATTCTTTTCTCCTTGGCTCCCGCGGCCGGTCGACAGGCTAGACTACTCCAGGTCTAGAGCACTAGCCAGCCATTGCTCAAAGCGTCAACGGCAGCCTAAGAGCCCTCGCAACGTTGGACCGGCGCCACGAGCGATTGCCCCTCGTCGTCTGAAGACTCCTGATGCAGAAGCGTAAAAATTCCAACTACGCAGTCGGTAGTCTTCCTAGCCAGTGGGATTCCTAACCCTGCTGCGAGTGGAACCGTCGTCGGCATCGCTGGGCTTTTTAGAAGGTGTCACCCGCAGCAGGGGAGATGGCTGCTACCAGAAAACAGCAGAGAGATACTCCAATCACGAGATCACATGTCTTGCTCTCTCGCAGGGGCCTGCGAGCGATCCTAGATTGTTTCGGTGCCTGGAGCATGCTGCTCCTGCGACGGCACTGCAATTTGCTGACCCCGTCCGGCAGTGGCGTAGAGGAGGCATGCTCACGGACGGAGTGGCATCCCGATCGAGGATAAGCAGGAGGCTACTCTGCTGGCAATGTAGAAAATAAGTCGCATTAGCTGGGCTCCACCCCCAGGTTTGCTGGCCTTAGTGCCTGGTTCTTCCAGCAATCAGGGCCGGAAACCATTGCCGCGAACGCTGGTGGACCAGCCCGATCCCCCTCGCCCGTGGATCCGGTGTCTCCGAATCCGATGGCCCGTGGGCCTCGCAAATAATAATCCTCCGTGCTCCGGGTCGATAACAGAGCCCTCTGCTGTCCGCTAGCGATTCCTGTTATTCACGACAATCCACGAGACTCGTCCCCAAGCAACAATGCTCCTGACAGCTGTTCGAATCCTCTGCCAATCATTGGATCGCTTAGTGGGATTAGTCAGAATCCAGCCAGCGTATGTCTGTCAACCGTCTTTCGTAAGCACTATCGATCAAGTACTCCCCGCAATGGCACAACGGCCCCGTCTGCTTCTGGTCGCCTTCTCGTCTTCAAAGACCGGCAAAGTTTAGGAGGCTGAAGTCTCCCCACGGCCAATGCAGGCAAGAGGGGGGAGTCTCACGCTGGCGTTCGCCTCAATGCGGATCACGGCGATCGACGAATTGCCTGTTCCGTCGCTAGCGCGGAGCAAGCCTCTTGTCAGCGATCGGGCGGTCCCGTGGCTGCTGCCGACCACTCACGGGCGAGAACAGCCCCAGCCCAGCGAGGGCCAGGCGGGGAGTTTCGCTCGCTTGCGGTTAAGACCGGCTGGCCGTGGCCATGTCCAGCGTCTCTACGAGTCTGCTGCTCTGCTCGCCTTCTCCAGCAGGGTCAGATGGCCGAATCAGGCCGGCCCCCTCTGCTGGGCAAGCAGGACCAACCAAAGCTTGGGCCCAGCTGCGGTCTGTGGCGAATCTACACGAAAAACGGCCCAGCCCAAAAAGACAAAAAAAAAAAAAGTAAAGTAAAAGAAGAAAGGCGGATATCAGCCACAAAACGGGTGCCAATCTGAAGAGGCTTGTGGCCGGTGCCGATCATTGCCCGGACTGGCGCCATGCCGCTAGAAAGCCTAGAATAGCCTGTGCCTGTCGTGAGGCCCACGGAGATAACGATCGAGATCAATCACAGTCAAGTCGTGTATCCGCAAGGCTGATTGGGGGATGCCCTGTGGTTCCTGAACGATCAATCACCACGCCGGAGACCGCCGACAAAAGGCGTCTGCGACTGCTGACTGGCTCAGGGCCTGCTCCAGCGATGCTCCTGTGTAATCAGCAGACAGCCGTTCGATTCGCCAATATTCTCCGAGAGAAAATTAGCTCTCGTCACTAGCAGCAGCCAAGTCCCCCATGACTAATCATCCTGCTGGATTTTAGCGATAGCAGACCAGTCTCGAACGAGCATAGCGGGGCCGGAAGGATTCCTGCGTCTTGCCACAAACATCAAAGTGCCCGCCAACGGCCGATAAACAGGTCTCAGTTGGGCTCTGAGTGCTTCATCCTTCATCCGTATACTCCGTAGACATTGGCCCCTTCCCCCTAATGACGTTGTTTTCAAACTTCTTTCTGGGGGAGTTTACTCTGGTCGAGGAGTCAAGGTTAAGCACAATAACGCCACAATCAGGGGCAAGATGGGTCGAGCGAGACGAAACAAGACAAAAAGAAACCATGATGCAATCAATGCATACCCTCAATGTTGGTCTCTCTCTGGATACGACCAAATCATAATCCCGATCAGGCAGCACACGGTCCAATCCCTGTAGTCTGTACATTTTCTTTCATGTGAAAGTGGCCTGTCGAACAATCGCAGCACCGTGCGTCCTGTACGGCATGCTTGCATCGATTGCATGCGTTCGTACTCCTCGTACCTTGCAATCGCGCTGTCGAGGACGGCAACAGCAGCATCATTCGCCAATGGACACCCGGCGGTTTGAATTGACACCACGATCGACACGCCGTTATCCCCGTCATCGAAGTCAAAAACGGGTGCTAGTTGCATCCCTTACATACGCAGTCTCCGTATTGATGCAGGTCATTCTTTCTGTCGACAAGCGCGGCGATCTGATTTTGAATCAGCCTTTCAGACCGGACGGGACCTGCATCTTGGATGCACGTCAGACGGAATGTGTGTATATTCATATCACCATTTTTGGGCTTGGGACTTGTTCCGCAGCCGTGACTGCTTTGCTCAGGAACCACCAATAACACTGCCTTCCGACGGAATCCTTCTCGAATAGACTCTCGAGTAAGGACCATAGTCTTGAGCATTGTCCGCGGTACCATGGGCACTGACCCGATGGCGGCCCGTATTCAGCAATTAACCTGTCTTGGACATGCGAACTTGCGCCTCGTTTTCTTTAAACCTAATTCCAAAGACAGCAGTCATTAAGAATCACAATGGAAGTGCGGTTCCTTCTTCCTCAATAATATTATTAATGACTGACACGGTGTCGGTAGTTGTGAGTGAGACGGGATAAAAAAAGAAACGCGTGAAACAGACCCCGGTTCAGGCCCCTGTTTCAGGTTTCCTAATCAAGTTCAAAACAGGCTGCTAGCCCGTTCCTGCTCTGTCAGGTCGACGATCACTGCGATCACCCATACGACTGTCGATCCGCCGAGACTGCCAATTGCCTTGCGGGGAAATGCCCGGGCCGAAACTTCATCGACCGGAAGCAAGTTTGGCTCCGACGCTCCGTGTCCCGAAAGGAACAAGTCCAGAGTCTGAAAGAAAAGAGGGGGATCGCGCCCCCCAGCCCACTTACACTCTCCCGATCCAGTTAGTCAGGTGAAGTTAGTTCGCTCTCGTTTGGGGAGATACGCAGTCGGACCGTCGGAGGATTCTCGTTAGGATCAACTCTCTGGATGCTGTGGCTTATCGCGCCAACCGTCAAGCAGCACCGAACAACTGAATTGGCGCTAAATCCGCGTCCCTTGACAAATCCTTTCGCAATCGATACTGCGTACTGGATACTGAGTTAGGTATACAGAACGTGAGGCGTCTTTCTAGTTGAACAGCGTAAACTACTTCGCGACTAGCGCGCTTCCTTCCCAGCAGATGATCCGCAGCGATCCCCTTCTTAGTCGACTGGTGCCTGGTACTGTTCTTTTATCTCGACAGAGATGCCGTTTCTATACAGAGCACAGGATCTGACTGATTTCATGCCAGACACACGACCCCGCTGGTTCGGGAATCCTGGCAAATTGAGTCATTTCACGCGTTGCTCACGCACAGGTTACCAAAAAAGATAACGTCTCGGTTGTTGAAAAGGAGAGAATGTCGAACGGACCGGGTGTCTTGTCCCCCGCGATTGGCATTTCGGCCCCTCAAAAACTCGAGCGTATACCGCCCCAATTTGCCCCAAACAGCATATATATACTAGTCAAAAAATGGAAGAAACAAAACACCAAAAAAAAGATTTTAGGTTCCGACGGACAACAGACCCAATGCCGAATGCCGAAGAAAATGCAAGCGCTCCAAAGGGATATCAATGCGGTGACATATACAGCGCCCAAAATTACCAACATTCGAAACACGCTCCAATATTACCGGACATGCCCGACAAGTCCCAAAAGGTGATAAGAGCACGGCAGTAACAAGGGTTGGTCTCGCAGATCTCAAGCAACATTACGCCTTTTGTGGAAGGTATCGCCATCATCTTCTAAGCTGGCGGTATCAGCTTCCAGGTGGCTGCATCGCAAGTCACTTCCTCGAAGCTGTGGAGTACTCCGAAGCCCATCGCGGATAGGCTGTCAAAGTTTCCATCGCCGTCCACCTGTGGCAAAAGGAAAAAATCTCAATTAGGATACATGTCCGAAAAAGCGGGGAAGACAATCAACAAGGAGATAAGGGAAAAAAAAGAGATAAGACGGGACAAGGAAAACTTACACAGTCGAGGATCAGCACATCCGCGCCTTGCTTGCGGATTTGTTTGATCCCCAGCAGGATCAATCCCTGCATCAAGGTGGCATACTCCCCCACAGACGGAGAGATCACCGGTGAGGAGATGCCTCCTGCTGCCGCCGCCGCATTGATCTCCTTCAATGCGGGTACGTACTCGGCCAAGGCAGATTGACTGTTGTAGACTACAACACTTCCCAGAATAGAGCCGTCCTCAGGTCGCTTCGCACGGATGACCCCAGAATGGGGTGCGCCGTTCAAGGCAAGCTTGTAGATCTCCATCACGCCCTGGCGGGAGTTGGTCTTCACATGATCGAGGATCGAATCCGCATAGTCCCATCCGTAGACGAGGTCATAGTCCACCTCCGCACTCTGCAGGCTCTTGGCCAATCCTTCCGGAGGCACCCACGTCGAGAGAGAACGCAGCACCACACTGCAGACGGGTCGCGACAGGGCCGTGTTCCAGCCCAAGTTTGCGAACCATTGCCGGAGCTTCTTACGTTCCACTGGATTTGCCGTGGGGATGCCCAAGTAGACGCTGGGGAGACGAGAGCCCAGCTGAAATCGCTTCACGCCTTTCCGTTGCAGCAGGGTTCGGATTGCACGGTTGTGCAACGAGTGCCCGATTGACAGTTTGCGTCGGCTCGGGTCGACGATTAGCGCGCCGATGACGCCCGTGTTGGTGGATCGGAAGAAGTATGTCGAACAGAAGCCGTAGAGAGCGTGCGTTGTGCTGTTGCGCACCACAAAGTGTGCCTCCTCGACGTCGTCGCTACGCAGCAGGAAGCTGTTCGACGAAACACCGGCCAACTCGGACCGTTGGGCTTGCGAGCAGTCCTCTCGGACGGCATCCAGAAGAGCATCGAGGGCCTCTGAATCGCGTTCCTCGTTAAAGCTCTCGACTAGCCAGTGCTGTCGGGATTGGTGGAGTTTTTGACTGCGGCTGATACTGCCGGGCAGCGACCCGGTCGGGGTCAACTCTCCATAGAGCACCTTGACCAGCGCCTGCAGCGCGGTCTCTGTGAAATCGTAGGTGCAGATGTACGTCCCAATCGATTGATCCATGGCAAAATCGTACGGCGAGCTCACAGAGACCACGATGAGAGGCTTCTCACGTCGCTCACCCGTTTGGGAGAATTGGGCTTTGCAGATCATCGATACATGCTTGGTGAAGCCGTTCTGGTAGAGATTCCGGTTGGCGTCTGCGGTGACGACGATGACCGCGCTGGCACGATCGATTAGACTCTCGTGAATCGGGCGGACGCCGGTAGAGGTATAGGAGGTATGGAGCACACGGCCAATTCGCTGCCGGGCGAGAGATCGCCCAAATTCTCGAAAGACGCACTCGACGCTCATGATCGAAGCACCCTTCTCCCACGCCATGGAATCTGGCGAGGCGCTCATATTATCAACCACAGAGCGGGAGACGGCCGAGGCGGGGAGGGGCTTCACCAACGGCGTCAGGAGTAGTAGTTCCTCGTCGGGTTCGAGAATGCTGGGCAGCGGCAGCAGGTTGTTCTTGTCCCGGACGAGGGTGATGGAACTATTATAAGCGCGCGTGGAGAGGGCGGTATGCGACGGTTGCATTTTGGTTAAGGAGGGAATTCCCCCCGGATTCAATGCCTGCTCCCAGGAGGTACAGCGGGCCTTCATCGCCAGCACACGTCGGAGCGACTGCTCGATACGGGCGCGGCTGATGATGCCGTTCTCGACCCCGAGCTTCAAGCCATTGAAGGCCTCTTGCTGGATGGGGTACGAGCGGCACAGGAGGATCACATCACAACCAGCCTTCATGGCCATCACGGTCCCGCCGCCGACACCGATGTTGTGCGTCAGAGCTTCCATCTCGAGACACTCGGACACGACGACACCACCAAACTGGAGGTCTTTCCGCAACAAATCATCGACCACCTGCTCAGAGAGACAGGCGTGCATCACATTGACCCCCGCGGAGGACATGGCGACACCGCCCACCATCATGGCATCCAGGCCATTCGCGATGGCATTGCGGAAGGGTACCAGGGCGCTCAGGCTCAGTTGCTCGAGCGACTCGGTGATAATAGGGACGTCTGTTTGCGAGCCGATGAACTCCAGGTTGCCATAGGATGGAAAATGTTTTCCACAGGTGACCAGACCCGCTTCTTGGTATCCCTTCATAAACTCGACCCCATACTGGGACACTTCTTGGGGGTCATCGCCACTGGTGCGGACGCCCAAGGGCTGATTCCGAACGTTGGTCAGGACGTCGAGGACGGGGCCCATGATCCAATTGACCCCGACGGCCTTAAGCTCCTGTGCGGTGGCCGAGGCGACCTCGCGGGCCAATTGTTTGGACCCGGTCGCGGCGATTCCCATGGCGCTGGGGAACTGGCGGATATAGATCTCGTCAAAAAGACTGTTGACACCGCCATTCTCTTGATCGATAGCAATCAACAGAGGCACGGGATGGCCAGCATCCCGCGCAATTGTCTGCAACTCCAGGACCAGCCGTGTTGCATCTTCCGCGGCTGTAGTTTCCGCAGTTAGCATCCCTCGACCCGGTAGTTCATGAGGTCTCGTCTAGCACATACATTTAAGGTTCTTGGCAGTCAGAAGGACAGCTCCCACATGGTAGTCTTCAATGAGAGATCGGATCTGGCGATCGACAGTGGTACCATCAAAACCCATCATGAAGAGCTGACCCATCTGCCTGTAAAGTCACAACGCACGCCATGGTCAGCGACAGTATTCTTCAAGAGACGACACAGTTCACAGGGTCCAAGGTGGAGAGGTATGTCTCGCAATGGGACAAGACATGGGAGGATCAAATAGCGAGACGCAAGCTATTGGCATTGCGCCAAGACAAAGGACCAGCTCACCTGTCCAGATTGTCCCAGACGGGAGGCAGCGGATCCTCCTTCGGGGCCATGATGGCCCTGAGCGAGGAATGCCAGCTCTCACCGATAACCCCGTGAAGCAGTCAGGCCAGCGGTCAGTAGGGTCGTCCAGAACGGTCGAGGCAGATAAGAGGACTGGGAAAGTGGGAAGAAGGCGCGGCTGTGGATGGCTGGCGTCGCAAACAGTGTGGTCGTACAGAGAAGGAGCTGGGAAACCAAGCTTTCCGTGGTGTAGCTGAAGCTGGGAGGATGATTGAATGCAATACCGGTGCAGCTCAGTGGCGGAATAGATAAGAAGACGTATTTAAGCTACTGGTCCCTGCGCAGGGAGGAGCAGTGAGCAGGAGAGCGAGAATCGACAGAAGATGCTCCTGAAGGAACTAGACATGTCCAGCCACGCGCGGGCGAGCAGGACAAGCGGAGACTGTCGCGGGAGTCAGTTCGCATCGCACGAGGGGTTTGGGACAGACAGAGGAGAGCAGACCAGCGAGAATAATCGGGACGAAGACCAGCGGAGCGGAGGGGAAGAGCGCGTTCCTTCCCTGCAGCTCGCAATCGGGAAGGAACAAACAAGGAAGGGGCGAGCAACGGGGATGGCAGCGAAGGAGCTCACGTGTGGGCGGGCGGGCGCCGATAAGCGGACGAGCAGTGTTGGGGCTCCGGCGATAAGGCAGATTACGCGCGGCGGGCTAACTCTGCCGCTTGTGCCTTTGCGGAATGGCGTCGGGGCGGCCGGAGCATGGCAACCCCGGACGGCAGTCATGCCGGTGGAGCCTCCCCGGGAGAGGAGCAGAAACACAGCATCGGTTGATTGTGTGAATTGCACGAATTATTATTTTCTGCATATTTCCCAGCATCGAGCAAAACAATAACGGGCATATCTACCTGGCAAGTAAACCTTTGCAGCCTGCGCTGTTCAGCCTGATGGTTGCTCGATATGCGTCGGATAGGCGGGCGCTTTGACCAAGAACTGCATGGACTAGAGCGTTTCAATGCGGGGATGAGCCCGAACGGGCCAGTCAGTGCGCGTGGAATCGACGGCTCTGCGTAGTCCAGCCTCGGGATATTGCTGTCTTTTGATTTGATGCACAGGCATGCATAAGGGATGCACGATATGACAGGCAGAGCCATATCTTTGTTACGAGTACAGCAACCGCAGTGATCAGGAGGTCTACGGAGTACTACTCATCCTTTGGATATAGCAGTCCATATATCAGTCTTGAATGCAGCTAGTCGTCTGGCTGATGAGAGTGTATATATATATATATCCTGGAATGGATTGTTTTGCATTAAATAATATTTAATATCTTCATGCTGCTCCCAGCCACCTGATTTTAGGGGATGGTCATATGCTTCTATGGCCCTCGTGAACTTTTTTTTTATTAATAAACCAGCATATTATCCCGTGAATGTATCCATACGTCGTGGAAATAGTATCCGCAGAAATCCATTGATATAGGCAATGTTGACCAAAAAAGGAAAATGTAATTCGATCATTCGATCTACAGGAACAGTCTATCTCATACTCAAGCATCTCCTGACCGGAAAAATGATTGCAGTATTAAAAAGGCAGTATAAATACATTCCTTTATTGTGGAAGTCATGCTGGCAGAATGCAAAGCGAATGCACAACTATGGATAGTGGCATAGCTGTAATTGATATAATAACACTCATCACCATCTTCGACCTGCAGTAGAGCAACCATGTGTGGAGAATACAGTGCAGATCTCTAATGGAATCTGCACACAAGTATTTATATATTTCAGAGATAAAGATGGGAGTGTACCGTTAATTTGAACCCAAGCCATTACTACGGGACTCTTGTCGAATCAGTCCTAGTTGAGCAGATCAGAGCAAATAGTAGAATAAAACAATCCACGGCCACACTGACAGGACACATTCAAGATTCTTATCGAGGAGACCATTTTTGAGCATATCCACTATGTATGTACAGCACAGTACATACATACTGTATAATAGCGATGAGTCTGCTGAATATGATCAGCACAGTAAGATATTTTAGCGTCAACCACGAAACCGGGGTTCGTAACAAGTACACTCTGTTCGTAAACGTACCCAATTTTGTGGTCAAGTCACAAGGGCTAAAGGGATGAGGGTTGCGGCTAACCGCAAGAGCACCCCGATATCGGACAGGGGAGCTGAACTATTATAACTGCATGATCTACCCTAGTCCATCAGATGATAACAGCTTGACAAGAAAATAGATAGGGATTTGCTTTCCTCTGCTCTGTCCAATAGAGTATCTAAGGTCTATCAACGATATAATATTGTTCGCAGATTGAACATTTCTCTCAAAGGATAACAGTCTCCTTTAGCAACATATCTCAAGAAACAAAATTAGAGGATACAGCATTACAGTTACCTGATAATGCCCATTTTCGTCATGGTGAAACAGCTAATAGTAGATCTTCAAGAACGGTTAGACCACAATTTCTACTTAATTCCCCTCCCAACAATTCGGTTAGACTGCTAGGAACGTAACCTAATGCAGTACGGTCCTCCAATCAAAGTGTCGAGTCTTTCTTCTCCAGAATTGCATACTGGGAATGTTAGAAGCCGTCAATTGATGATTTGTACACTTTTTTTTGTTGCAAAAGGTTAATGTCATTTAGAGATGTCTACACTGACTGATTATGGAAAACCCCTAGAGAAAAAAAATAAAATCACCTATCTTAGAAGTGTCTTATGAAGCTTCATTTTTGCCCCAAGCGGCTGAATTGAACCACCACTTCTCGTAATGCACCATCCTCAATCAGAGATTGAAGATGAAGCTCTTGTATTTCTATCAAATACACTCACCAGCCTATTAGAAAGAAAGAAAGAAAGAAAAGAATAACGCAACCAAAAAAGCAATGCCGTGGCATTCGCTTCTTAGCAAACTCTGCTACATGTTCTACAATGGGTAACCCTTCTTAGAGGCCAGCCATTGGAGGATCATATATATAATACGTTTTCCATCGCAAAATTATCAAAAAAATCTTATATAACGGCTGTATGACACTTTGTAAAACCGATGATAACCGAGACTACTGAATCTACGAACGTATTGTCCTTTCTGGCGTGTGGTATGCTTCCCTGCAATCCACACTTAGGCTATATAAATCAACGCTCATCACTGTCCTGTATCTGTAATCTCTATCTGAATCTCAATTAAGACTACTGGACGACATGATGATGGATAGGTATATACCCACTACCATCTATCTGTTACCGCAATACTACAACTTATGTCCTTCTACTATTCCTTCATATGTACTGATCCTCGATTAGTTATGGCACCTGATTAGTGGATCATCAATCACGCTTTGATTTGGTGAAGATAAATGGGTCCTGAGCGAGCAGTAGTCTCTATCCCTCAAACGAGTGATATAGAGCTATCTGCCCGCCTTATCAGGAAACGATAAATGGCACTTCTAACACACCCTAATGCATGGGATGGCATATGCATGTCGATCTGTTGTCAAGGTCATCACGATGCATTATCAGGACCCTTCACTAGCACTGAGAGATAACAAGGATGCAGATAAGCAGGTGGTGATATTTATCAAGTAGGTCTTCTAGATAGAGTACAATTGTTTTAAGTCACATGACTTCCTCATGGCACCTACCTAATCGATCTCCCCGTGACGTCGGATCCAACGTCACGGCCATCCAATACCACCGTTGCAGCAGGCCCCACCTCCCACGTTACGCCGACTTGTCCGGGTTCGCCGATACCTTTTTCCGGATGTAACATGGCACTTGGACTGCTTTGAAATTGAATGATACGGAGATGAATCACTGGAGGAAAGTAACCTCAATTCATCTCACCACATACCCCATACAGGACCCGGTGTGACTCGTCGCTGACTCAGGACGACAGATATGAGGATCAGCGCCATGCGCAGCGCTCGCCGGTTCCGTCGGGGAACCATCCGTACAAACCCCGTACGGAACGTGACGGGCCGGTAAGAGCGATTACACAACGGCCGTAATTAATACCACCCAGTACGGTCATTGTCAAACGTCCTGGAAACAGCATTGCTAGAGATGTGCTCAACAGGTAGATATTGTTGCAGGTATCTACAGTAGTAAGTATCCTTATAAACAGTGACAGTCCTCGTTCTTCTCAGATTTTGCCCTCTTCTGCTGTATGGAGGACCTTGTCTTGGTAACTATAAGCTTTGCCAAGAGTATGATAGCTACTCCCCGACGCATCCGGCAGGATACAATGTTCCATGTCTTTGACTGGGCATATGCACCCAGGAGCCATTCCTGTACGTCGAACCGCATAATTTTTATTCTAGCAAACAATCCAGATTAATGATTCATGTCAATTAATTGATTGTGTTCAAGATAGTATTCACCTAGATTTGTTCTGCCCATGAGTAATACATACTCTCCTCCGTACTACGCGATGGGGCAGTCCCGAACCGGTAACCGTCAACCCACCGCGCCACCCGATGACATACAGCCATATCGATGGAGCCGTTGCAACGGATGCTCTCTCCATGCCACCTGGGGGACACATCTCGAAGCTCTGCCAGCTCACATGGCCGGGCGAGCTGGGGCGGCAGCAAGCTCATTTCCTGCCGTCAATGTAGTACTGCACGGTCCTACGGAGTATGTAGCCGGTCCTGTCCGACCCAGCAAGCTCAACCGTACAATCCAAGTGGCCACTGGACAGTAGCAGTAGAGAATGGCCTGGATGACTGGCTGAGAGCCTCTGGTGTCTGGCAGAGAGGGAGAGTGGCCCAAGCTGCAAGGAAATTCACGCGCAACTCTGGAACTGCAGGTCCTTCCATTCTTATCACCTCTGCTCTTCCTTCCTCTGTCACTTCTCCTCTCTCCCAGATTCCAATCTACCGTCTAGCTCTCTGCTTAGTAGCTAGTGGCTATTAACACGATCGTTGTCCATCACCTCCTGGTCCTCCCTCTGTGAGCCCGCTGATTCTTCGCTGTCACTTCTGACGCGTTAATTAAGCTCAACCGGTGACGTCGTCACCTCGCGTCCCGCCAACATGTGAGCTCCGATCGTCACCCTCTTCAGTCCTCGATTCACAAGCAAAAAGGAGATCGCATGCTGACCATGCTGCAGGAGAGTCATCATCAGGGAAGACCCTCAGGGTGTCTCCGAATACATTGCTGAGTATATCATCAGTATGTCTGCCGTACGGGTTTCTAGCATGCAAGTACTGATTTCAATAAATCAGGCCGGATCAAAGCCTTTAATCCACCCCCGAGAAGCCCTTCGTGCTGGGCCTTCCCACCGGCAGCAGTCCTGAGATCATCTATCGCATCCTCGTCCAGCGATACAAGGCGGGCGAGATCTCGTTTCGCAATGTCGTGACCTTCAATATGGTATATACTCTCCACCAGACCACTACGTCAGTCAAGCTTTGCTGACGTCGACAGGATGAATACGTGGGCCTGCCCCGGGACCACCCAGAGTCGTACCACAGCTTCATGTACAAGCACTTCTTCTCCCACGTCGACATTCCTCCCGAGAACATCAACATTCTCGATGGCAACGCGCCCGACCTGGCCGCTGAATGCGCCGCCTACGAGGCTAAGATTGCGCGAGTGGGCGGGATTGAATTGTTCCTTGGAGGAGTCGGTCCTGACGGGCACATCGCCTTTAACGAGCCTGGGTCCTCGCTGACCAGCCGGACCCGCGTCAAGACGCTCGCCTACGACACGATCCTGGCCAACTCGCGATTCTTCGACAACGACGTGAACAAGGTGCCGCGGATGGCGCTGACGGTGGGCATCCAGACCATCATGGACGCGCGCGAGGTGGTAATTGTGGTTACGGGCTCTCACAAGGCGCTGGCCCTGCATCACGGAATCGAGGGAGGTGTCAACCACATGTGGACACTGTCGGCGCTGCAGCTGCACCCGCACCCGCTCATTGTGGCGGACCGTGATGCGACGATGGAGCTGAAGGTCAAGACGGTCAAATACTTTGAGTCGATCGAGCAGGCGGGCACGGATGCTCGGACCCAGGGACCTCCGCTGGTGTATCGACCCAGGACATACGTTCCGGCGCCTCTGGGGGCTGCTGTCGTCAAGCCACCGCAGGCGCCGAGCAAGGTTCCGAAAGACCTGAAGATCGATACGGAGCTGCACCGGTCGATGGAGGAGGACGAGCTGACGCCGGACAGCATGTCGTCGCGAATGGTCGACTCTGGGATTGGGGGGTTGGACGCTGCTCTGAAGGGAGATATGTTTTTTGACCGGATGGGATCGAGGGTTGCCACTGCGTAGAACAGAACACACTGGGCTGACTGAGTAAACTGGTGGTGGATTAAATTTGTTGATCTTCCTTTTTTTTATTCTTTCTCTTCGAGCGATCGGTGCAGGCAGGACATAGCATGGTTTTACTTCATTTTCATTTTCATTTGCCTTTATACCAGCGAGATGCCTTCGTTACGTTGATGTGATCTACTTGATGAGCAGAGCAGAGCTAGACTTTAGCGACCTATGTACTGTATGTACTGTACTGTTACAGTTCCTGTCAAGATTATTTTTTTATTCATGTACTGTATGAATGGTTAGAATTGATTGGTTGGCATTTAATTAAAAGAAGTTATTTTCCTTTGTCTGTCTGTCTCTCTCTTCTTTTTTTTTCTCTTTTAGTTTTTTGCTTTTTGCTTTGTACGAAAAACTGTTAACAATTCCAATAGATAGAGACAGAAACGGTAGGTATGACGTAATGCCACTTATATCATACCTAGGTATATAACTGTATCAGGGATATTATTAAGAGTTGGTATTGTACTAAGTACTAAGTAGTAGCTACTTAACTCTCAGACTTTAGATATAATTATATATAATTATATTGGGAATGTTGGGAATGGACTTAATTATTACTTCACATACCTATTCAGGTAGGTACTGTATGCACAGCATGTACATTGATTGACTGTTGACTGATGGATTGACTGATTGATTGATTGAACACAAATAGATGAACAAGAAATATAATATGTAGATGCAGAATATATATATATATATATCTGTTTTCTGTATGTACAGTTCAGCACAGTACTTATTTATATACTGTATACTGTATACATACGTTCTAATATAATATAATAATATCCCCAAGACAAGACGAATGAATATGTGTATGATTTCGCCCGCTTGTAGTGTACTGTACTGTACAGCATGTGTATATGAATGAATGTATGTAAATAACATGTCTATACACATGGATAACTTTTTTTTAAAAAAAAAATGAAAAATCCTCCGTATCAAATCGATCGATCGTAGCGTACATATACCTCGTAATAATGACAATAATGATAATATCAGTCTACCCAGCCTACGGCAGCTTACAGCTTCGGCTGGTTCTGGCGCCAGCCAGCTTCCTCCGCAATCAGCTCGGCCGCGCGCTCGCCGATGCCCAGCACCGTCAGCATCGGGTTGATCGAGGTCATGGTCGGGAAGATGCCGGCGTCCGCGATGCGCACCTTCTTCAGACCCCGGATCTTGAGCTGCGGGTCGACGACGGCCAGCGGGTCGCGCTCGATGTCGCCCATCTTGGTCGTGCCCGCTGGGTGGTACACCGTGTGGTGCACTTTGCGGCCGTACTCGGACAGCTGCTCGTCCGTGACCACGTTGGGGCCCGGCGCCACCTCGCGCTTGATCCAGTTCTTGAATGGCGCCTGCTGGGCTACCTTCCGTGCGGCCTTCAGCCCGGCTACGATCGTCGCCGCGTCGTAGCCCTCCGGGTCCGTGAAGTAGCGGAAGTCCAGCGCCGGCTTGACGTTGGGATCCGCCGATGTCAGGTACAGCCGTCCGCGCGACCGCGGCCGCGGGATGTTGGGCGTCATGCAGAACGCGTGCTTGGGCGTGTCGTAGCCCAGCCGGCTCGTGTTCACGCAGAACGGGATCTGGTAGCAGTGCATCATGAGGTCGGCCGCGCGGCCGTCGCTGCCGGCCGCATTGGGAGGCTCGCGCCGCAGGAAGATGCCGGCGTCCGAGTCCATGGTCGTCTCGCTCGGCACGGGCTGGTTGAGCTCCCAGATGATGATCGTCTCCGGGTGGTCGAGCAGGTTCTCGCCGACACCTGGCAGGTCCTTGACCACGGGGATGCCCAGCGAACGGAGCTGCTCCTGCGGGCCGATGCCGGACAGCAGCAGCAGCCGCGGCGTGTCGATGGCACCGGCGCACAGGATGGTCTCGGCTTTAGCACGCAGCGTGCGCTTCTCGCCGGACTGCAGGGTCAGGGTGACGCCGGTGACGGTGTCGCCGCTGACGTTGACCTTGGACACCCAGGCGTTGGTCAGGATGGTCAGGTTGGGCCGCTTCTCCTCGCCGCGCAGGATGGGGTGGATGTAGGCGACGCTGGCGCTGCTGCGGCGGCCGTCGTCCGGGTTGTAGGCGACGGACAAGAAGCCGACGCCCTCGGTCAGCTGGCCCTTGGAGCGGATCTCGCGGTTGAAGTCGTCGATGATGGGGATGTTGAGGGCCTTGGAGCAGGCCTGCACCCAGTCCTTGCACAGCTGGTTGCGGTGGCGGCTGTGGACGGGCTGGACGGTGTTGCGCAGGTTGTCGAGCACGCGCATGAACATGTCGAACGACCAGCCGCGGCAGCCCATCTCCTCCCAGAGGCGGCAGTCGTACTCGAAGGGGCGGAAGGAGATGAGCGTGTTGTGCGACGAGCAGCCGCCGAGCACTTTTGCACGCGAGTGCCGGATGTGGCTGTTGCCTGCGATGACATTAGAATTGCCACATCACTGCAGAGAGAACAGTGTCTTACCCATGGGCTGTTCGGTCGTCGGGTAGTCGTAGTCGAGGTCGCTGCCCAGCAGCTTCAGCCAGTCCTTCAGCTTCAGGACGCGGTCGTCCATGAAGTCGCTGGGGCCGGCCTCGATCAGCAGGATGCGCTTCTTGGGCAGGTACTCGGCCAGCCGCGAGGCGATGACACAGCCGGCGGTGCCGCCGCCCACGATCACGTAGTCATAGCTGTCGACGTCGGAGAGGGGGAGGACGGTAGTGGTCGCCATGTCGGTCGTAGAGAGATTCAGAGCAGGGAGAACCGACAGAGATGCTGGATCTGAGACTGCGAGCAGGTTAATAACGGCAGATGCAAAATAATAATAAACACAGACTCCGGGCAGACGCACGATTTAAAACAATTGGCCGTCTGCAGAGCGAGACGAGATGATCGCGGTGAGGCGGTGGACCGCGCGGTGGGGCGATCGCAAGAGGAAACAGCAGGAGAGCAAAATTTTAAGATAGACAGTCGAGGAGATTTAATTCTGGCAGTTCTCCTGGATCCAGATGGGCCCGACCATGTGCCATTGCACGCCACTGGCTGGCCACCGCCTGGCTGCTGGCAGAGAAGCGTCTGATTAAGCAAGATAAGCAGCAACAGACACCCGAGATAAGAGAAAAGAATGCTGATCGCAGCTCACCGCAGGGCAGGCCGGCATGCTGCGTGACGTCGGTGGTCCATTCCCCCCACAGACCCGGCGTGCGGCCAGCATGCAGTTTCTCAGTGTTTGCAGGAATTAGTCCCGCTGCCAGCCGGGCCATACTGCAGTGACAGGCGTCCCAGGCAATCAAAGGCATTTCCAGCATGCAGAGCGGCGACAGAAAGAAAGAAAAAAGGTTGTATTCCGGCGCCACAGCAGCGTGAATGGATGACAGGGCATGCCCTAGGCAGAATGCAGTATAGCAGGCTGTGTGGCCCCAGCAGGGGAATCAATTAGTTTATCACTTATTTAGTGTGTGGATTTGCTAGTGCTGACACGGGCTATTATCCTTATGCAGGACCGGATCCAATTGCCTGCTCAGGCATCAATATCCAAGCAGCAACGAAGCTACAGTGAGGGTTACTGGACACGGAAGAGTGACTGAGTATAGGTTCTTATCGAGGTATCTAGTGTTTTAGTAGAGTATTTAGTAGAGTATAGTAGAATATAGTAGAGCATTTTTAGAGAAAAAAAAATAGAGAAAAAAAGAAGAGAAAAAAAAGGAAAAAAATAAGATGATCACCGCGCATTCTGATTGGCTGGACATCCGCCGCGTGGATTTTCACCGCCGAGCTCCGACCAGCCAATCGCGTTGCGCCTCCGACTGTTGCCGGGCATGGCGACTGCGATGGCGATGAAACAGCTTCATCTCTGCTGTTGAACAACCTCATAATCATAATAATAAAATAATACACAATCTGTCGACACCTCCATCTCGTCCACCATGTCCGTCCCCAGCTATCCCCCCCGCCAGCTCTACTACGACGGCAAGACGCAGCCCGCCACCTCGGGCAAGACCTTCCCCTCCATCGACCCCTCCACCGGTCGTGTCATCGGCGAGATCCACGAGGCGTCCACCGCTGATATCGACGCTGCCATTGCCTCTGCCGAACGCGCATTCCCGGCCTGGTCGCAGACGCCTCCCATCGCCCGCGCCCGCATCCTCCAGAAGGCCGCGCAGCTGCTGCGCGAGCGCAACGACGAGATCGCCGCCACGGAAACCCATGACACGGGCAAGGCGTTCAGCGAGACGAGCGTTGTCGACGTCGCCACGGGCGCCGACGTCCTCGAGTACTTTGCCAATCTGGTGGGCGGAGGCGGCCTGAATGGCGAGACGACGCAGCTGCGTGAGGATGCGTGGGTGTACACCAAGAAGGCGCCGCTGGGCGTGTGTGTGGGCATTGGAGCTTGGAACTATCCTATTCAGATGTGAGGACATATACATATTACTGATAAAGAAAGAGGTATTTGTTTACTGACTGTGATAGCGCCCTCTGGAAGTCCGCCCCCTGCCTGGCAGCAGGCAACACCATGGTCTACAAGCCCAGCGAATTCACCTCCCTGCACGGCGAGACGCTCGCCAAGATCTACACCGAAGCCGGCCTGCCGCCGGGCGTGTTCAACGTCGTCCACGGCGCGGGCGACGTCGGCGCCTACCTGACCTCGCACCCGTCCGTCGCCAAGGTCTCGTTCACCGGCCAGGTGTCCACCGGCAAGAAGGTGGCCTCGACCGCCGCCGGCGACATGAAGTACGTGACGATGGAGCTGGGCGGGAAGAGCCCGCTGATCATCCTGCCGGACGTCGACCTCGACATGGCCGTCGACGGCGCGATGATGGCCAACTTCTACAGCACGGGCCAGGTGTGCACCAACGGGACGAGGGTGTTCATCCCGAAGTCTCTGAAATCCGAGTTTGAGAAGCGCCTCGTCGAGAAGATGCAGTACGTGCGGCCCGGGCCCGTCATGGACCCGGCCACGAATTTCGGCCCTCTCGTGTCCAAAGTCCACTACGACAAGGTCACGGGGTACATCCGGCACGGGATCGAGCAGGACCGCGCGACGCTGCTGTACGGCGGGCTGGACAAGCCCAAAGTGCCCAAGGACCTCGAGGGCGGGTTCTGGGTGCAGCCGACCATCTTCACGGACTGCACGGACGACATGCGCATCGTGCGGGAGGAGATCTTCGGACCCGTGATGTCGATCCTGACGTACGACACCGTCGACGAGGCCGTGCGCCGCGCCAACGCGACCGAGCTGGGTCTCGCAGCGGGCGTGTTTACCAGGGACCTCAACCAGGCGCACCGCATCATCGACCAGCTGCAGGCGGGCATCACGTGGGTGAACTCGTGGGGCGAGAGCCCGGCGGAGATGAGCGTTGGCGGATGGAAGCAGAGCGGCGTTGGCGTGGAGAACGGCCGGCGAGGCATCGAGATGTGGGTGCGCAACAAGAGCACGCTGGTTGACATGAGCGGGTCGGTTGCCACGGCTTTTGCGAAGTTGTAGAACAACACTTTTGATATGCGCATGCGGGTTATGTTTGACGATGTTGTTATATTATACTGTACATACTATCTACATATCGACATATCTAGGAGTCTTCGTTCGAGACGGGGACTATCTATCTATCTATCTATCTATCTATCATCAGCCTGGATGGAAATGCTGAGTGATAGCATAGCATAGTATTGCATTGCATTGCATAATGATAGATACAGATAAATAATAAATAACAATCTGTCATGATTGACGTAAAAAAAAGAAAGGAAAGCAAGAGAAAAAAAAGGTGTTTTGATCTGCTTATCCGTCCTGTGTCCTAAGCGATTATTAGTTAGCTAGTTAGGTAGCTACCTATATATGAATGGGCAGTGCTGACGGGACGATAAGATAGGAAAGCACCACTACAAGTACAGACAGACTTCCTACACATCAATTCCTATAGATCAATCAATTATCTATCTAAATTATATGCTATATACACACTGCAAGCACATGTCTACCTAACTAACTAGCACTTTGGGTCTACCTAGGTATATTATCTATCTATATTTACATCCATCCATGCACATATAATAAACTAGCTACCAATCTATCTCGTCAATGTCAGTAATGCAGGTATTGAAAAAAAATAAGAAATATGGTAATAATAAATGCAATTGCAATGCACGATATGCAGAATTCAAGTTGTGGCATGGCGACTGCTGGTTATAAACCCTTCTGGCTACCGCTGTCGTAGATTTTCACTCCAAACTTCCACACCTGGTCGACCGTCAGGGTCGCCCCGCTGTACGGGTCCATCGTCTCGCCCAGCACCACCAGATCAGCGTCAGCGCCGCTGTCCAGCGTGCCCTTCACCCCCTCGAGGCCCAGCATCCGCGCCGGCGTCGCCGTCACCGCGCTCAGAACCTCGCCCGTCGTCGCGCCCGTCCAGCGGCGGAAGTTGTTGACACACTCGATCAGCGTCGCGGAGCTCCCCGCGATCTTGTCCGAGCCTTCAAGCGTCAGACGCGCGCCCGTCTTGACGATCCGCTCGCCGTTCGTCCACTCGTACACCCCGTCCGGCAGCCCGCACAGCCGCATCGCGTCCGTCACCAGAATCAGCCCCTCGCTGTGCGCGTTGTACGCGATCTTGATCGTCGTCGGGTGCAGGTGGATGCCGTCCGCAATGACCCCGAAGAACGGCTTGGGCTGCTCGCTCTGGCCCAGCAGCCCGAAAATGCCCGGGTTGCGGTGGTAGAACGGCCGCATCGCGTTGAACAGGTGCGTCACCATCGTCGCGCCCTGGCCCACGGCTGCCAGCGCCTGCTCATACGTGGCATCGGAATGCCCGATCGAGTAGATGACGCCGCGCGACACGAGCTCCCGGATATTCGACAGCATGCCGCCCACCTCCGGGGCGGCCGTGATCATCTTGATCGCAGGTTGTCTCTTGGGCGCGTCCCCATTGACGGGAGCGTCTTCTTCGTTCTTTGCCGGCGGCACGTTCTCCGCTCCGTAGCAGTCAAGGATATCCTGGAAGCCGTTGGTCGCGGCCCGCAGGACGTCTGGCTTGTGGATGCCATTCCGCGCGGGACTCATGAACGGTCCTTCGACGTGGGCTCCCAACGACTCTGCACCATCTTCCGCACGACGAGCGGCTCCGGACGGAGCCAGGGATGGAAGTACCTGTCCCGCAGTCAGCACGTCATTCCTTTTTTTCTCTCTCTCTCTCTCTCTCTCTGTTTGCTGAGAACTACCTTCCAGTAGACTTCAGGCGTCGAACTGACCAGCGTCGGCAGATACGACGTCACGCCCGTCCGCGCGAGCCCCCGGTTCGCCTCCAGCAGACCAGCCTCGTATTCCTCGCGGGTGGCACGCGGCACCGAATAGTCAAAGCCCTGGGCGCCGTTGAGCTGGACGTCGATGAAGCCCGGACACAGGATGCGGCCATTGAGGTCGATGACCTGATCGGGCGACAGCTTCAGCTCGTAGAAGGCCTCCTGGTCCTTGAGGATCTTGCCAGACACAGAGTCGATCCAGAGATCCTGCTCGATGAGCTGCTTGTTCTTGAGGATGCGGCAGTTGGTGAATTTGGTGATGCGGGGGGTATGGTCTTGGCGGGCCGGCATGATGTCAGCGATCGATCGATCGACAGGAGGGAAAAGGAATCAAGAATTGCCTAGGTAGGTGCTCTGCAGAGGATGGTATCCTTATCAGCGGTTGACAACAAGGGCAGAGAGTGCTGATCCAGGCTGGTCAGGCGCTGGATGGGAAGGAAGAAAGGAAAGTTCCATGGCGACCGTTAATAAGTTAATAATCAGAAATCGCGATCAGGACAACAGGCGGCTTCTGGGTCGGGGTTGGTGGAGGGCCGATAGACAGTGAACGTTTCTTATCGGCCATGCTACATCATCCAGCCAGCGTAACCAGCGCCAGTCGCAACCTGTGGTAACTGTTCCCTGCGGAGTCCACAGCCGGATGGGGCAGGGTGACGTCCGCGTGCGGCTTGCCAAGAGAGCCTGCCTGAGTCATGACAATCTACACAGAACAAAGCAACGCTCTGGCTGATTGATCTAGATGATAAGCAGATAGATAGCCAGAGATCATGCAGCCTGATAAAGAGATGGAATTAATTGTCTGCTCTATCAACAATGGATGGGAACACAAATGTGTGGCAACTGCTGTCATGGTATTACCGTATGGTATGTTATGGGACGGTATGACGCAGTACAGTACGGTCCTGTCTGGTATCATCCCATTGCTCTTTCTCTTGCCTCGACTCATGTGACACGATCGCAGTTTCCTGATTCCACTTCGAGCTCCTTCTCTTCCAGCCAACCAGACATTTTATTCTTATGAGCGATTTCTCCCCACCGCGATGCCTTTAGAGGCCATCTGTTAACATAACATGTCTGCTTCCGCGTCCCACTGGCAGCCATCGCCAGCGATGTTACCGTGCCGGGCACGGAGTTGCCCCCAGTGTAACGCTGCCGAAGCCCAGGAATCCAATCCTTCCTGGTCGCCATTGTTGCTTCAGCTTGGCTGTCCCGCCAATGGCAGGCATCATGCCTGCCCAACTCCTGACAGCTCCAGCTTGGCTCCTGTTCCAGAAACGCGCGTGCTGTCCTCTGCCCAGCTCTGGCCATGATTTGTTGGAACTCTGGTCAACGTGACAGCTGGATCTAGATTGATCTGCGCCAGCACTCCCAATCGCTTGTGTCTGTCGAAAGGAGGACGTGATGATGCCAGAGAATGGATAGACGTCGAATGATCGACGATGAAGAACAAAGAGCAGTGATGGCTGGCTACGGAGGAATGGCTAGGTCCAGCAACAGGCCTGGTGATAGATATTCGATGCTGGCCTGTAACTTGCTCGTATTGCCTGGAATGAAAGCTATGTTCCACAATGTTGGCAATGGAGGTCTTTGTTATTTTTCTATTTTTTCTCTCCGTAGCTCATGCTGACGTTCTGTAGGTATTTATTCGACCTCTCTTTGCATTCGATTGTTTACTCCGTACGAACTTCCCAGCTACTGTACTTCCTCTCGTCGATCCTGGCTTCGTCGGCTTCTCCGAAGACAATGCTTTATTCCTTACAATTTACCTACTTTCTGGGGTAAAGCTCCATGAGAACGCTATTATCCATCGGCTTTGCCCTATCTCAATCCGCCCCCCTCCCCTGCAACCTCGCCAACGCCACGGCTTTCGCGTCCCCAGGTATTGGTTTCCTGCCACGCAGGACCTGCAGGAGCCGAGTGCCACCGCGTGGGCCCCCTTGTTCGGCTGTTCTGTCAGCTGTCAACTGTCGGAGTCGCCTCGTGAAGCAGGAGCTAGGATTCATCAGGCAGCCGATAAGATCCAACGATATCATTAGCTGCCAGCTATACAACTCGTTGCCGAATCGCTGCTGAGGATCAGCATCCTAATTTCTAATGCGTTCCTGATCCAATCCAATCAATCTTTGCCACTTATGTTTCCGTCGTCTCACGCGACTTACGCGTCGCTATCCCAGTCCCTGAACTAGTTTCATCACATGGTGGCTCGAGCTGGCTAGACTATCTCCCTGGTCTGTCTTATCTTAGACCCAGGGACAGCTGCTAGTCCGTCCTGCCAAGGACTGACCTGCAGCTCAGACTTAAGGTGGAGCTCCCCGCAGGTTCTCTCCATCTCTGGTGGAGCTCTGAGATGACCTGAGCGGGCGTGGTTTCTTGCTTGCATCCAGATCATCTGGGCTACAAGGTGTTGGGAAGACAGTCTGATTTTATTTCTACGTCTGTCGCTTTAGCTCAGTGTCTGTTTGGGTGGGAGCAGTGCTCTTTGTGGTAAGTTTTCGTTTAATGGTCCTGATCGTCTTGCCGTTTTATACCTTCGTTGCTCTTATGCTGTCTGTGACTACAGGCTAATCAATAAAACTCTCGACAGGTATCTTCTACCTAGATATCCACCATGTCGACTGTCTACGACCAACAGTACCCCGGGGCCTTTCGGGATGCCAACGTCCAGGGCAGATCGTGGATGTACAAGCCCTTGAGAATCGGTCCCTGGACACTCCCCTGGTTCGCATCTCCCGAGTTCCAGCTCATCCTGGTCTCGTTCGTGTGTTTCCTGTGCCCCGGCATGTTCAACGCCGTCACCGGCCTGGGTGGTGGTGGTCAGGTCGACCTGCACGACGTCAACGACGCCAACGCTGCCCTCTACAGCACCTTCGCCGTGGTGGGGTTCTTCGCCGGCTCCATCGCCAACTGGATCGGGCTCAGACTGACTCTGTCGATCGGCGGCATCGGCTATTTTGTCTATGTCGCCTCGCTGCTCTCGTACAACCACAACAGGAATGCCGGCTTCCTTATCTTCGCTGGCGCCATGCTCGGCATTTGTGCTGGTCTGCTGTGGTGTGCCCAGGGTGCCGTCATGATGAGCTACCCGCTGGAAAGCCAGAAGGGGACGTTTATTGCCGTTTTCTGGGTCATCTTCAACCTTGGCGGGGTGATTGGGAGTTTGGTATGTTATTCCTACCTTTGTCCTGTGAAGTTTATTCTCTGTTGAGATGTGACTGTGCTGACAAATTAGGTTCCCCTCGGTGAAAATATGCACTCCAAGGCCGGCCAGGTCAACGACGGGACCTATATCGCCTTTATGGTCCTCATGGCCTTCGGCTTCATCCTCACTTTCGGCCTGTCAGACTCTAAGTACATCAAACGCAAGGACGGGTCGCGTGTCATCGTGATGAAGAACCCGACATGGTGGTCCGAGTTCAGCGGTCTGTTCAAGACGCTCCGGTCGGACTGGTACATCGTCTTGCTGTTTCCCATGTTCCTGTCGAGCAACTGGTTCACGGAGTATCAGTTCAACGTGGTCAACGCTTTCTACTTCGACATCCGTACGCGCGCGTTGAACAATCTGCTTTACTGGCTCTTCCAGATGATCGGCGCGTTTGCGTTTGGCCAGCTGCTGGATCTGCCGTGGTTCTCGCGCAGGACGCGTGCCAAGCTGGGTCTGGTGGTGCTTTTCGTCATCACCATGGCCATCTGGGGTGGGGGGTATGCGTTTCAGAAGACTTACACGAGGGAGTCGCCCAAGCCGAACATGGACTTTACCAGTCCTGGCTACGTGGGGCCAATGTTCCTGTACATGTTTTACGGGTTCTATGATGCTGCGTTCCAGACCTGCACGTACTGGTATGATCATGTTCGAGAAGTAGATTTTTTTTCTTCCATGTGCTGACCACCACAGGTTCATGGGCGCCCTTAGCAACAACAGCCGGAAGCTAGCCAACTTTGCGGGCTTCTACAAAGGCATCCAGTCTGCTGGAGCAGCCATCACCTGGAGGTAAGCTTGAATTCGCTGTGTAGTATTCAACCAGCGGCTGACCAATCCAGAATGGACGCCCTCAACACGTCCTTCATGCGCCAGTTCGGCGCCTGCTGGGGCCTCCTGGCAGGCTCGCTGGTGGTCGCTGCTCCAGTGGTCTTCTTTAAGATCAAGGAGCACGTCGACATCGAGGAGGATCTCAAGTTCTCGGACGAGATCTTCGCCGAGGTCGCGCCGAGCAGTGCGATGACGATGGACGAGTATCAGCTAGCTGACAAGCATGTGTCGTTTACTGCGACAGCGAGTGCTGTCTAGCAGTAATCTAGGCGGAGGTTGAAACACACATTCACCTTCTTTTGTCTCTGTGAATTTCTTCTTTTGCTTTCCCCCTTTCGGCTTCTATGTATTCGATGTATATATTATATTACATTTGATGGATTATGGATTTTTCTACGATGGTAATCACGGCATGGCATGACGCCTTTTTTCTTATCTTTTGCCTTCTTTCCCCACCGTCCTTTCAGTCTTCATTCATTCATCTATTCATCTATTTTTTATATACTTTTGTTGAGCAGTAGAATCCAATAGAAAGATAAAATTTTACAATAGTGGCAATGTTGGCAAACACAGCAGTTAGTTAATTTGCAGTGTAGTTAATAATATGGGGTACATCAGCATGAATATCATGATAGCAGTGAACCACCTTAGTAAGTGAGTAGGCTAGGTATACTATCCTAATTATGCAGTCAAATAGGTATGTACTGTACATGCACTCTCGGCAGGATTCATTCTTTGTTACATACTCCGTATATGGAGTATTTTTGTCATAATTTCCAGTATACTCCCACAAGTGCATAATATACTTAATTTTTTTTTCCCACAGAAGCATCTCATCCGACAGCGCGCAGCAACATAAGCAAGTCCATGTTCTATAATTTAATTTGTATTAGAGAGTATACATAGGTATATCCACTCCGTAATGGATATTTACCTACCTACCTAGGTAGGTAGCTAGGCAGGTATATAATTAGGGTTAGGGTTGACCTTGCATGCGGGGTTGTGGTGGAGAGTTGTTACATAAACTTGACGGGTTGGCTCTTATCAATAACGGTGAGGTGTCCTTAATTGCGGAGTAATTAATGTGAAGGGCCAAAGCCTTGCTGTCTAGAAACTAGGAGCTCATAAAAAGGATTCGCTGGGGAAGGAAGAAAGGAAGAGAAAGGCACGCGAGCTGTATCAACAGGAGTCATGTGATAAACAACAAATAGACCAATCAGAAGACGAGAGCGAAGCTGAGTCAGCAATATGGGCTTAGCCCGCAACAATACCCCCCTCCTTACTATGGATTCCCTCAGTGTGATGATTGTAAGTTAGACTGTCAATTTGACTGTTGGCGTTGAGTCTTGGTATCCCCCTGGCGATGAGCCTTCCTGGCCTCCCAAACGTCAAGGGCAACTGTATCTTCCATATTCTTTGCTGCAGTCCATGTTGGTTGCTGATAACCATCCCATTTGACCAGATATTGGTGACGGTATCCTCGTCCCCAACGTTGATGACGTTCATCAAGGATTTCCTCGACCAAAAACTCCTCTTCATCATTGTCATTTCCTAGTATCGCAGGGGGCTGTGGATCAGTTCGGATCTGACTAGGGAGTGGGTTGTTATTTGCAGGCCGTAGGAGGCTTGTATGAAAGACGGGGTGGATTCCTAGTGGAGTATCAAGCCGGTAGGCATGAGAGCCAATCTTCTCTAATACCGTATACTTCGCATGGCGGGCATCAAGCTTCTTAGATGGTCGGTCAGTGCGAATATTCCGAAGGTCTAACCAGACCTTGTCTCCCACTTTATAGTTGGTTGCAGGTCTCGCCGGCGATTTGCATAATCTT